GGAAAGGTGGGAGGAAGCAAGTGGGGTGGGTCTCATCCCCTCCTTTCTGCACCTGTGGTGCCTGGATGGTGGTATGGTGTGGTGCCTGGGGTTCAAAGTGGGGCCCACCTGATTTATGGGCCTGACCCACCTTGGACAAGTACCCATCCTCCCCTTTCCTGACAAAGAAGAAGGTTTGTGACGATGCAGTGAGATGATGATACAGGTAAACCTGGCATGTGGTGTAGTGCTCAGCAAATGCTAGCCATATGCATGAAACATCTGTTGGAGGATATCTTTGCTGTGCATAATGTGGCAGAGGTGGGAAGAAATCTAAAGACAGAATTCTGAGATGCCTACACTGCACCCTAGAAAGCTGGGAAGCAGTCTTCCACCCCACTACTATTTTGGGTACAGGCCAGCTTCTTACTCTCTCCTTTCATGGAATGAAGGTGTGGGATGGGGATTGAGTTGAGGTGGCACCTTCTGGGCCTTGGCATGCAGCACCCTGGAAAGCATTGGTGAGGTCAGAGAGGAAGCCTGTGATGGGAGGGAGCGCCTCACATACCAAATGATAGAGCCCACCCACCCAGAGTCGGGGTATTGTTCGATGTGAAAGGCTCAGAACCCCATCACCTTGCATACAACAGAGTTGACTTGGTGTGTGTTGTGCTCAGGCCTCATGGGTGGTCCATGATCAAATTCTTGGGGAGGATTTCATCCATCTGTGATTCCTGCCAGGCACAGTGATTCATACCTGTATAATCCCAGCAACTCAGGAGGCTGAGGCAGGAGGATGCCAAGTCAGGGGCCAGCCTCGGCAACTTAAGGAGCCCCATCTCAAAACAAAACAAAAAGACCTGAGATGCAGCTCAGTGGTAAAATGCCTCTGGGTTCAATCTCCAGTACCCTATCTCCCCAAAAAACAGAAACAAAGGGGTTCAGTTCTGTTGGTCTTCCTGACTTTTAAAATGCTGATGTCTTGAGCCAATCTCCAGGCTTGCTGCTGCTTTTTCATAAATGAATTTGATCAGAAAGCATTTCATAGGACCCCTGCCTCCGCCCGCCCCCCCCCCAAAAAAAAAAAGCTCAGAACACTTGATTAACAGAATCTGAGTGGAACATTCTACGTGTGATTAATACTTTTTAATACATGAGGGATCTGTGGTGGCCTGGGTCTCTAGCCATCTACAGTGGTGGTTTTCCCTTCATTGTGAAGGGAAAGCTGGGTGGGGATCAGAGCAGGTTATAGAAGCCTCACTGCCTCCTATTCCTTTCTGATTGTCCCCAGATGTGGGCTCAGGTAGCACAACAAGTGCCACTTTCAGGCCTGGATAGAGCAGTCTGCTCCCGTGCTAAGTATGGGGCTTTCCTCCTCAGAATCCCCACCCCTCACCCAAGCTGAGTGGAAATGTAGTGCCTGTGACTCTGATGCTTGGTGTTTGGGTTGCAGTGTGACTGAGGTTCATGTCTGCGGTTTAGTTAGTATAGTGGTTGGGTTAGTCTTGAACGCCAGACCTACTGTCCACAGAGGTCCTGTGGGCCAGGTGGGCAGCTGTCACCTACCGTTGATGTAGCCCATTGTTTTTCCTTCTGGAGGACCCTCCTCGTGCCTCACCAGGGTCCAGTCTTTGGGGAGGGTAGTATTCCATTCAGTCTGCAGCTGCCTGTCAAGTGCTGTTGTGTGAGGCTCTGTGTGTGGCACTGAAGCACGGAGGGGAAGAAAGCAGAGAGGCCCCTGCCATAGTGCTTCCAGCCCAGGGGTGGATGCCAGCAAGCAGATCAGTCCAGCCAGGAGCTCAGGTGCAGACACACCCCTTCCTTTCTAATCACATTTCACCCTCAGCTTCCTGTTCTCCATTTTCCCTTGGTGCTGTGCACAGAATAAGGGCTTAATAAATATTTATGTGATTACGTAGCCGCTGGTGTTGTGTGTGGAACTGAAGGGGATGATTTCTAGGTGGTGTGCGTTGGTTCATATGTTGGGAGAAAGAGTTCTTCAGAGGCTGTGGTCTCTCATCTTCCCTGGTAGGTAACTTGGAGTGACTTGTGGCCTGATACAAGCTAGGGATGTGCTCAGGAGGGCATCCAGGAGTTTCCTGACAGAGGCCAATGTCTGTCCAGGAGACAGTGTTGGCTGCAGAAAAGAAGGTGAATTGTGTGTTCCCAGCAGAGGGATGAAAATATACAGAAGTGCAGAAGCACACCATAGAATGGGACATGTAGACTCTTCAGTGCCACAACCATAGTCACGTGGAAGGTGGGGGCGGTGGCAGGGCGTGCCTGTCTGAAGGAGCTCAGACCCTTGTTAGTGGCAGGGCATTGCGGTTTTAAGTGTGTATTTTACACCAGTGATTCTGGCTGCTCTGTGGAGGCCGGAGATGGGTGAGAATAGAGGCAGAGAAAAAAAGTAGGTCTGAGTGGTGCTTGAAATGGGTCACAGGAGCAGGACCAGGTGTCAATTAGGGAGGACCTGATTGAATTGCCTGGCTGGCTGTTTTCAGAACTCTACCCTCACACCCTCTTATGTAGCTTCCCACTCTCCCCAGCTGAGCATCCTGTGAGATGGAGTGCAGAGTATCCCTTGCCCATCTCACCCCCGCTGACCCTGCCGCATGGTCCAGGTAGCTCGAGCAGGGCCCTTGCACTGCAGCAGCTCAGGCCTCCTGTAGTTGCCCACATGGCTGCAGCTTCCTTTGTGCTGACCCAGTCCTCATCACCAGTGACCAAAGAATTATCTGTGCATTCCACCTCTTCCTTCCTAGCCTGGCACTGGTGTTTTTGCCTCATGTTCAGTTTCTGTGCCTTCCTTACTCGTGCATAGTCTTTGACCTCATAGTTTATATTGCAGAGGGGAGACAGACCATCAACCTTTTAAGTATATAATGGGTCAGGTGGCGAAACTTGCTACAAAAGGAAAAAAAAAAAAATTTTCAGCTTGGCTTTGAGACTTGTCCAGGGTTTCTTCCACAGGGTGCCCAAATGCACCAGGTGTTTAATTAAGTCTGCAATGGCCCTCTTAGACTGCAGTCTTAGTGACCAGGGGTAGAAGTCTAGCTCAAAGCCGCTGCAGCAAAAGCCAACATTGATTGGCTTGACTGAAATGCCTGGGGAGAGGGTTAGCATCGGGAAGTTCCACAGGGCCTCCACCAGTGTGGCTGGGATTTAGCCTTCCCACTACTCTCTGTCTGTTTCCCTGAAGGTTGGCCCTGTGTACCTGTGGCAACCCCAAGCTCCCGTACTACCAGTTTAGCAGCCCCATGAGAAAAAGAGCACCTCTTCCTCAGTAGCTCCAACAGATTGACCTGGCTGTATTCCACATGCCAGTGTCCGCTGGGCCAGGGCATGCTGTGCTGTCTTTGTCAGGCCTAGAGCCTGGGCTGAAGTTGAGGTGGGGCAGGGGTTCTTCCCTAAAGAAAATGAGGTTGAGGGGATGCTAAGCTGGCTGAAATCCTGGTTCTTCCCTGTACATCTAGTAGCCGAGGAGTCAAATGCAGAAGTGGAGGTGTAGTCCGGACCTCCTGCCCTGGTTCTGATCCTGTGGGGTCCAGGGGAAGTGCCAGAAGGTCTCCAGGCTCCCTGGCAGCAGACACAGTATGGATCAACTGCTGCCTTGCCCGAGTCCTTCCAGCATTCATTTGGCATCTTTTATTGTCTGGCAGAGACACATTCATTTGATTGTTCATTCATTCGGGTTGTCCAGGGAGATTTAGCTTAGGGAAATGTAAAAACCTGTTTGGATAGCCCTTTGCACCCCTGCCATCCACCATCTTACCCCTTTTTCTCCTAAAACCTGCTCCCAGGCCTGTGTTTCCCCTCAGCAATTGCATTCACTGCCCACGTCCCTCTTTCCAGACTTTTCTCTCAATCCCAACATGTTTCCCCAGACCCTTTACAACACCGCCTTATGTCCAGAGCAGAGCCACACTACCCCCTCCCCACTCTCGTCACCCTAAAAGCTGCACCTGTGAGTTGCCACTGTCTCTCTCAGCACTTTTTGAGACTCCTGCACAGCTCCCTCTTAGGGGCCTTTTCCCATCACCAGTTCCCCACGCAGAGCACCCTCAACATGGTAACACAGTGCCTGTGCACACTTCAGGGTTGGCATCTGGATCCCCACAGTGGGGTGCCAAGGAACAGGGCTATGCCCAAATTCTGCTTGTTACAGAGGCAACAGGGCACAGCATGCAGCTCGTGGGCACCAGATTAACAGCTTCTCTTGCTGCACCCTGCAGGAGTATTGGGAGTGCACCCAGGCCCGAAGCCTGGGGTTCAAGGCAGTCCTCATGAGCATGTCCCAGAGTGGACAGCAGGGGCTTCCCAAGCTGCCACCTATGTCAGGGCCAAGTGGCAAAGGACTGCAGGCCTTGATAGGTGACAAGTGGTGGGAACCATAGGCTGCATTGCTCTTGTCCCCTCAGGTAGAGCATCCCACAGCATTTTCTCTTGCAACAACAGCTGTTTGGCAACCCCACAGAGCCTTCCTTTTTAATGAGTGCTCACATGGAACTCCCACCCAGTGTTGTGTTGGGCCATACAAGCTCTCCAAAGAGCAGCAGCCTTGCTCCAGAGGCCGAAGGCGCATCTCCTTTTGGGTTGCAGATTTAAAAGGGGGGAGGGGGAGGGCTAAATTGGCCTCCAGCCTTTGGAATTCAGAAGGTCCCCTATAAAGAGCTTGCACCCTGAGTGGCCTTCCTGCAAGGTGCCCTTGATGGGGCTAGAGAGTGGCAGTCCGGTGCCCTCCCACTGTCATGCTCATGCCTGTCCTCAGGGAGTCATGAAAGCATTTTGTTTATCACATAATATGCACATAGAAAGGGGCACAAATCATCTCATAAGGTTTGGATTTCGTTCACCAGCAGAACACACCCTCACACCCAAGTGTCCTGGTGAAGAAGGCTATTCATATATATATGTATATACATGCATATATACTTTTAAACTTATTACAAAAAGCTGTAGCTTTGTTTACTGTGTGAATATAGTGTTGGGGGGAAAAAAACCAATCTTTCTCTTTGCAGAAAAGCCTGCCATTGCTCCGCCCGTCTTTGTGTTTCAGAAGGATAAAGGACAAAAGGTAAGGGGCCCGGTATGTTCTCTCTTCACACCATTTCTCTAATTTGGTCTCTGCCAAAGTGCGTATTATCCAGGACACATGGCCACAGCTGCTGCTACCCACTGATAGGAAGACCTAAGCACAGCCTTTAAGCCTTCGCCTTGAGCTGAAAGGGTGGCTTTAAGTTACCAGTGGCCTTTGTAAAGCAGTGTTAGCAACGTCTGCGTAATGCCTACTGGTTTGTTTTAGAAACATCGCTGTGCATTTGGAAAGCAGCAGCAGAGAAACGTAGTGGGAGGCAGAAGAAACAGAGAGCCTGGGCTGAAGTGGGGGGGGTAGGGGTTCTGTGGAAGGAAGGAAGGGGGGGAGGGAAGAAAAATGGGAAGAAGGAGGGAGGTGTAGAGATGGTAGCAGGTGACCAGGGGTGTTGCTCATAGATAGAGCATGTGTGAGGACCTGGGTTCAATCCCCAGCATCATGGAAACAAAGAATTTAGAGGGGTTATGTAAACCCCAATCAACTTGACATGGATACATTTAGAATGATTGTGAGTTTGCTTGCATTGTCTGTTGGTCCCAGTCTTTGTGGGGTTGTTTCCAATTTGGATTGTGTCTCTGGAATGCTAGAAGTACCTCTCCTGATGTTAGGTCAGATGGGTGCTCGGTAGATCCGTCATAAAACCGCAGTCACAGATGTTGCTGTGTACCTTGAAGCCATCAGTTCATGCCCTTCCCTGACAAATAATATGGAAGATTGGAACTGTGTCAAAAGGCAGGCATGGTGATGCACTCCTGTATTCCCAGCTGCTTGGGATGCTGAGGCAGGAAGATCACGAGTTCAAAGCCAGCCTCAGCATAAGTGAGGCGCTAAGCAACTCAGTGAGACCCTGTCTCTAAATAAAATACAAAATAAGACTGGGGATGTGGCTCAGTGGTCAAGTGCCCCTGAGTTCAATCCCTGGTACCTAAAAAAAAAAAAAAAGTCAGCTGGTGCTGTGTGGCAGTGATTCCCCAGCTGGAGTGAGGATTCCCCTTAGTCACCTCAATTTCTTGTGGTCCCTCACCACTGAGGCCCCGTAACCTGACTGCAGTTGTGATTTAATGTCTTTACAGCATTTTATACCCACAGTGCTGCACTGAATTTGGCAAGATTTGAAGTATGTTTGCATCTTGTGGGAATGACAGTGTCTAAGAATCTCATTCACTTAGTGCTCCAGTAGATTTCCAGGCCTTTTGCAGGGTAACTGGATCCCAAGTTGGGAACTGCTCTGGTCTGGTGATTTGGAGCTCTTGGCAACCCAGCCACTTCCCTTGGTCAGTATGTGGCCCAGTTTTCCTGGGTGATGTTCAAGTGCTCTGCCAGAAAGGGGGTGTGTGGCGGGAGGGAGAGAGAGAGAGTGTGTGTGTGTGTGTGTGTGTGTGTAGTAGGGAGGAGGGAAGTGACTGTCCTGTTCCACCACCCACACACATACCTGTGTTTGCCTGGCTAATGTCTGTTAAGCTTGTAACGTTAGTCTTCTTGAATTAAACTTTCCCGTGGCTCGTGACTAACGTTGCCAAAGAGTCTGGGTACGGGTTGGCTTTCAGGATCAGGCAGTGTTTGCAGAAGCTATGCTTCCCTCTCCCCAGACCCTGACATGTGCTTTGCTGGGCCAATGGATATGAAGGGACTGAATTTTTCAGACACAGGATGTTCAATAAAGCCCTTAGGAACCGGATGTGTTGTGTTAGATCTCTATTTTAGATGTTCAGGACATTTCTTTCCAGTGTTCAGTAAAATCAGGACTTTTCTAGATTTGGGGTTTTATAATGATCTTGGACTGCATTCTGTTTAAAACGGGTCGGCACACTAAGGCCCTCTACCAGCACCTGTTTTTGTGAACAGTTTTACTGGAGCATGGCCATGCCATACCCTTTGCAGACCTCCATGGCTACACAGCAGCAGGGTGTAGACAGACCGGGCTGCAGAGTCCTTCAGCATAGGCTTGTGGCCCAGTGGTGGTGTAGGTGCTTGGCGTGTGCCATGCCCTGGGTTCCATCCCTAGCACCAAAAGAAATAAGAGATATTTAGTATCTTTATCTAGTATCTTTAGATATTTAGTGTCTTTTTGACCTCTGTAGAAGTTTGCCAACAAATAATAGGACTTAATAATGAAGACTTTAAGACAACCAGCTCAGCTGAAACACTGAAATGTAATATTCATTCAGATGAATTTAAAATCATTAGTTCCTGTCTTGGTACTCTTTCACAGCTAAGGGAGTTGAGCTGCTTTATAATGTGAAGACTGATTTAAAAGGATGACCTTCAGAGGTCTGTGCAGATCACCTTAAAAGGTGGGCCTTGAACCTGAGCTGGAAGGTTAGCTAGGAAGGCTTTGAGTCACTTAAGAGATGTGTAAGTGCTCTTATCAAAATATTGACTCAGAGCCAATTCCAAATGGGCTTCTAAAAATAACTGCCCTCCAGCTCTTGGGAGTTCATTGCCCCACTTCTGTGACACTTCTGTGGCAAGATCACTGAAGGGCATGCAAGAAACATCTGTGTTGAAAGGAGAAGCCGGGTTCTGTTGGTAGGGTCCATAGCCCAGCGGCCGGATCCAGGTGGATGCAGTCTTCCACTCTGCTTTTCTCTGCAGCTTAAGGACTGTCAAGAGTTAGGCAGAACACGTGGGCCAGATACCTGACTTAGCTTCTCCTTGGCTTCCTAGTGCAAGGGACACCACAAGGCAGCTCTGCAAGGAGCAGCCACAGTTCTCTTTCATATCTGCCAAGAATGAGAATCTGAGCTGGCTTCTGGGTTCCTTCCTCTGGCATGACCAGCAGCTGCTCCCCTTCTTCCCGCTGAAGCCCAGTCAGAAGTCAGGCATCAGAACTGCTGGAGTTTTCTGAGCAGACTGTTTTTCCCCCTTTTTGCTTCAACATTTTTTATTTTTAAATTTTTGAATTTCATTTGAAGTCTGAGTAAAGCTGACTGGCGCTGAATGATGGGGCATCTGTCACCTCAATTTGCTGCTGGCATTTCTCATTGCTAAAGCTCTCAGCTGTAAATGGTGCCCATATGCCATTTCCCCTTAAAGTCTTCCACAAGTGTCTAGGAGTGGGGCCGTTCTCCTCTGTGGACCTGAGACAGTGTCACTCCTGAGATCATGGGTACAGTCATAGACTTCAACATACAGCTCGTATTTTAAGTTGCCCCTCAGATGTCTCTTGTAGTGATTTTTTTTTTTTTTTTTTTTTTTTTTTTTTTTGCCTTCCTAACCACTGCTTGATCCCAAAGATCAAGAAGTTCCATTGTCAGCTGTGGAAGCAACTAACTTATCTTTTAGTAAATGATCTCAAACTACCCAGGAGGTTTCACGGGAAAGAGCTCGTTCCTCCAGAGGAGGGTGTCCCTGTGCCCTGTGGTGTTGCTGAATCAGGAAAGAGAAGAAGGATTTCAAAGGGAAAGAGAGAAGCTCTGCTACCAGCCCATTGCTTCCATTTTTGTTCAGCGGCAGAGCCCTTATGTGCCCTGTGGGTCCAGTCCACGTGTTGCATTGCCTTTTCTGTGGGGTGCTTGGGGTGTGACTTAGCCTTGGGACAAGTGGCCTGACCCTCTTACTTTGTGTTAAGAAAGGTGGTGGGTGCTTGGATTGCAGGGCCAGACTTCAACGACTGTGGCCAGTGGGTGGCCCCGGAGTTTTATTGGCTTTTTCCCTGTGCCTCTGCCACCAGGACAGCTCCCTTCAGGAAACATGGGGTTCGCAGGCGCTGGTGTTTTAGGATAAAACCAAAGCCTTTTTTCTGAACTGCCTTGAATGGAGATGGGTCCTTCTTTTTGGCACAAAGAAATGTCCAAGCGCTTCTCTCAGTCACCCTCCCTCCAGAGCATTGGTTAACCTGCAGGGCTCTGCTGTCCCTCTAGCAGGAGGGTGCCCGTGTTGAGAGAACACAGGCGGTTGTGAGTGCTGCTTGGAAAGTGCAGTGACCCTGGAAGTGCTATCGCGGTGTGTTTGGACCTGGTTTGATGCTCACCCCATGCTCGTGTTTTGTTTTGTTTTTTGTCACACATTTGGCATATTTCAGGCTGGTGAAGTCTTGATGTCTGATGTTTCCACACATGCTGGGAACCATAGTCCTACCTGGGCTCTTGAGTGCGTACTGCCCTTGCCCAGGAAAAACACTAGGACCCCAGTAGAAGATGCTGGAATGATGTTCTTTATTTCTTCCAAAAAATTTCTGAATCTAAGAGAGGGAGTGATGTGACATTTCTCAGCCCTTTTAAGACTCTTTGGTAGTCAGTGAAGTTTGGTATCATTTGGGTCTTTCTGCTTGCCTCTCACATCCTCCCCAAGGACATTAGAAGACTTAGATCCCAGAAGCAGGGGTTCAAGACATTCAAGTGATTCTGATTAGAGACAGCAGTTTCTCACAGAGCTCTGGGTTTAATTTTCCCTGGCAAGTTGTTAAATCTCTGTCCATAAAGTAGCAACAGATGTTGGTGGCTGGGACTGACCACCTTGCCCCTGGGAAGGCCTCTGTCATTGGATTTCCCTGAATAGAGACTGTCCCTTTGGAGACTCTTGAGACAGAAGAATACATTAATGTGTTGTTCTGGCATTCCAAAGAGCTTTGGGAAGTTCTTACTCCTTTATGTAGTTCGTTTCCTCCTATAGGATCACATGTTTAAACGTAGCACCAGGAGCAACATAATGACCCACTAGTAGTCCCAGTTACTTGGGAGGCTGAGGTAGGAGGATCACTTGAGCCCAGGAGTTTGGGGCCAGCCTGGGCCACAGAGTGAGACTTCATCTCAAAAATAGAATTAAGTTAAAGAAAGAAAGAAGCACCCTTTCTGAGGAGGTCAGTCACTGCATGCCAAGAAAACACAGCCACGTCTGCAGGGAGACAGGGTGGCCCTCTAGTCATTTGGGTCACTGGGTAAGAGAAGCAGCTCCACAGTGTTAGATAGTCCACACAGGAGGTTTGGGGACTATAGCCCCATATGTCAGAACATCAGGTTTATAGCGCACTTCTCAGGAAGAGTTGTGGAGTGTGGCCACAGCTCTTAGCCCATGTAGGCCTGTCTGGAATACCAGGGTGCACCTCAGAGTATGCTGGGGTGGTACCTTGGGAACAGAGACCTCCGGAAACAGCTTTCTCCAAACTTGGCTATTTTCCAAGTTTGTCCAGATAACTCTGGAGAGTCCTAGACCAAGGAGTTCTGTGGATGTGCCCTGCCGCAGTGCCTCTGTTGCCCCGCACGCACTGAGGCAAGAGGCACTTCCTCCACCTCAGGTGTGAGCAAGAGGAACAGAAAGATCCCAGAATGGTGGTGAAGTCCAGAAGCCTGTGCCTTAGGCTCCCAGTTTCACATCTAACCACATTTCCAGGCCCACCTGCCCACCTCCCCACCTCCTCGTGCACAGAAGTGGTCTGGCCCCAGTGACATGGACAGCATGGCTGAGCAGAAGTGGATCAGCCCCTGGGGATTAAAGAGTCTTTAGCATAATCATCTCCTTTCTTTGTCACCAAGAGAATTGTTTCTTCCTCAAGGCCCATAAGCACAGTTAGCTGTACTAGCCACCCTAGTTTTGAAAATGAGGATCTGGATTTCCTGGACACCTCCGAGCTCCTTGCCAAGTCAAACAGTTCACTTTGCTCTGCCCCTGTTGGGAGGACCAGTTCCACTGAGCAAAGCAGTCCAGGAGCTTGTTTTTTTGGCCCCTCCTCCCTGAGGGTGGAGCCATCTCCAGCCCTACCGCCCCTGCCCTCCCCTGCCCCTTGGTGCAGCCTTTATTTTACATTGAAGGAAAATTGTCTTTTTTGCTCCCAGTCCTCTGCAGAGCAAAAAGACTTGTCGGATTCGGGAGAGGAGCCTCAGGGGGAGGCTGAGGCCCCCCACCATGGCACGGGTCACCCCGAGTCAGCTGGTGAGCATGCCCTAGAACCTCCTGCCCCTGCTAGCACTTCAGCCAGCACTCCTCCGCTTCCCGCTCCTGAAGCCCAGCTTCCTTTTCCACGAGAACTGGCAGGGGTAAGTCCAATCACCCGGCACCCCCGCTGCCCCAGGGGAGCCACCCAGACGAGCCCTTTCCCTGGGGTCCCTCTCATCCAGACCCTAGATCAGCATAAGCAGTCAATGATCACAGCTCCCTTCAGTCATCCAATAAAAGCTGGGAAGATTAACTCCTCTTTTATGGTTAGTCTTTTTTAGGTGGGGACGTCTGTACCCATAGTGAGACTAATCCTGCTTCCTGAAAGAGACACAGTGGTCAAAAGAGAAATTGAACAGTAGGGGAGAGCCTTCCAAATCAAATTCTACCCCTTCTCTTTCTCCTGTCTCTGAACTTGGGCATTTAAGTTCAATGTCTTAGAAATCTGAGGAGCTCTGGCTTCCCTTGGAAGAAGAGTCATCTAGCCCCAGTCATGTTGCAAGACTGGTTCTGTTTGGACTGTGGCTAGGCAGTGAACTGCTTGTCCACATTCAAAGCAGGAAGAAGAAAAGCCCCTCCTTTGTGCCCTTTCTCTTTGTGTTATGAAGGATTTTGAAGATAAAGGTGGAAACAATCATCCTATATTTGGGATTGAAAATTCTGTCCTTCGGTTGTCTAATGATAGAAGACCCCTCCCCTGCTTTCATGACATAACAAGGGAACAGAGGACCTGGCCCGACTGCTTGCTCTAAACCCCAGGGTAGCAGAGTCCCAGATACTTCCCCCACCCCTGAGTGATTCCTTCCACCACTAGTTCCTGTTTTTAAGGAAACCATGAAGATTTAGTTACAGCCACCAAGCCCTAGGACATGCAGAAGGAAGTTGGAGCCCTCTTTTAACATTTTGGAGGAATTGGTGTGTAAAAGAGTGTGTCCTGTGCCACATACCAGGGTCTGTGGGGGAAGGGGTGCCCCTCAGGGTGCAGAAGTGGGCTCCGGTAATGAGACTTACTCAGAAGCTGCAAGAGCGCACCACAGTGCCCCAGGAGTGTGGCCCTCACACCAGAGTGCCCGAGGGCTGGCGGAGCAATCTTTCCTTTTTCTTTTTTTGGCAGAGCAGCTCCTGAAAACTTGAGATATACTGAGTCGGATAGTGGGAGTTCCTGGGCATGTGGTCTTCTTTGGTCCTCGGGAGCACAGCTTCTGAGAACAGATAGGACCAGAACTTGAGAAGCGCAGCTTGCAGCGGACCCTGCAGCTGCTGAAGTGGCAGGTTTCAGAGTGAGAGTAGCTAATCGGGCAGTCGCAAACCTTTTGTGATGGCAGCTGCTTTTCAAGAGCACAGGGGCCCCTGGCTTTTGGTGGGGCCTCACTTCTTGCCATGATTTGCCTCTGAGATCTGGCTGCCTTGGGCAGGGTCCTGTGTGAAACGTGGCTTCTTGATTCTTGTGGTCTTCAGGTTAGAGACTCTGATCCTGAGGAACACAAGCAGTTCCCAGACTGGTCAAGAAAACGTGAAGCATCATGGCCGGGAGCCTCAGGATGAGTTAAGCCATCGTGGACAGAGCCAGGGCTGCAGGGCTGAGGGCAGCAGGTCATAAATGAACTGACAGCCAGCCACAGAGCACAAGTGCGTGCTGTAGTTGGTAACCTCAGGGATCTTGGACACAGCACTGTCCCAGCACTTGGTGACAGCTCTGAGCCAGTCAGGCTTGCTGCTTTGGGCTCTCCACAGAGAAATCAGGCTGGTTCCCAGCAGCTCCTCTTAATTGGCTTTCTCTACTAGTTGGGCTTTTTCAAGGAAAATGAAACTTTGTTGTAGGTCAGTCAGTCCCTAAATCAAGTCAGGTAGCTCCTGACCCTGCTGCTTCTTGGGCTGAGGTTTTTCTCTAGTGAATACAGACTGTTTCTTTTGTATCAGAACAAATTTGGATCTTGCTCTGCCCCACATTGGTGCGCAGGAAACCACCCACTGTTACCCAGCAAGTCTTGTTCATCATGTTTGGTCTGTTCTCTGTTCCATGACCCCTGGGCGTTCTTTATAATAAAGAGTGGCTTGCTTATAAAAGGCCCTTATCATCTTTCAGTCTCCTCAGAGCTCGGGCCATTGAGGACTCAGTACCAGGAAAAAGTCTCTCTATATTAAGACTTTTGGCTCTCAGAAGACAGACTGAAGAAGACCAAACCTCAAGCAGACTAAATTCAGTGTCTCTGGAGAAGCAGGCAGCTTTCCGTGCTTACTCTGAGCTTGCTGGAATCAAGCTGGACTAACGCTCTGGGCCAGTCACTGCCAAGCTCCAGATGTGTTTTAGGCCCACCGAGAAGTGGCAGGCAGTCAGGAGCGAGCCCTCTGGCTGGCAGCCTCCTCTCCTCCCAGCTCCCACAAAGGCATAACCTCATCCCAGTGGGGCCTCCAGTTGTCAAGTTCTTCGTGACTAAAACACTCAGGGTCCCTCCAGGGGAACTGGGCAGCATGAAATAACCACACAAGAGACAGAGAGAGCTTTTCCTTTGGGTCCTGTGACGGCTCCTCTGACCTTAAGGGTCCACAGAAAGAGACAGAGAGCGCTGTGCTGAACCCTTTTATTGAGGAGAAGCCATTCAAATGAGGCCAGGGTCAGGATTCAAGGGGCTGAGTCTAGCTTCGTGATGTCTGCTGTCAGCAGGTTGACTGACATCTAGGAAGGCCACACCCACAGGCAGAGCAAGAGAAGGGGACACCCAAAGTGTTTCCATGGAACATTCTATCCCAAACAGGGCAAGGGGTAATGTCACCAAGGAACAGGTGGGCGTAGCTCAATCCATGGGGAACACACCTACGTCTGAAGACACATTTCTGCTACTTCGAGGATCGGGGCAATGTCCAGGTCACTATGAAAATGACTGACAGCCTCTCTGATGGTGGGAAGGAGTATGTGGATCGTTCAGACTGGCTGTCCACCTCATCCCCCCGCCATCCAGACCTTCAAGGCGGTCTCTCTGCTTTCCTCAGGGTTTTTTCAGTGTCTGTCTCTTCAGTAAGCATCTTTGAGCTGGTGGCCTGTCACAGCTGTGAATAAACAGCCGTGAAGTAGCCAATATTCTGTTTCTCATCTTCCTGCAGCTACAAGAAGCCAGGCTTTCTAACTGGTCAGTGCAGATGGGAATCATCCTAGGCTCCATCAGGCCCAGTTGTAGGCGCTGTTAACAAGAGGATTACCTGGCTGGGCCTTGCTCTCTGGCCTTTTCCAGGGGGTTGGGGAGATAGTGCCTTTCATTCCTACTCACTGCCCACTTGTCCTCATCTGTGGGTCAGCTTCTGAAGGCAGCTCCAGCTCTGTCCCCTTCCCTGGGTCAGCCTGGCCCCTTTTTTCATTCTTGGGGCCACGCCAGGCAGCCTTACAGGAGCCGTGTATTTTGGAGGGACAGATTCTGAGTAAATGTACTCATTACAGTGTTCACCATTTTATCCTCTATACAAAAACAGATGCCCCTGAATCCACAGTCCCATTTTGGGTTAGGTATGACTGCCCCATCTATACTTGGTGACAGGGACCCATGCACCTTAGATAGCAGCAGGTTAGCAAGGCTGCTGGCCTGTCCTCAGTCCAGACAAATAAGGAGTCTTCTTTATGAGCCTGCTTCGTGCATTCTCCTGACGCCTGGGAAGTAAGTCCAAGGGTCGTCTTTGGCCGTCTTTCTCCTCTGCTTCCTGGTGTGGTTGTCAGTGAGGAATGTTTTTATTGTAGTGTCCCAAATGAGTGTTGTCGAGTTCCATGACTAAACACTCGAGGTCAATCCAGGTGAACTGGGCTGCACGAAATAACCACACAGAGACAGAGAAATACCTTTTTCTTTGGGTCCTGTGACGACTCCTCCAACCTTAGGTGTAGAGGGAAAGAGGGAGCACGTGCTGAACCCTTTTATTGGGGAAAAGCCATTCAAATGAGGCAAGGGATAGGATTATAAGGGAACAGGTGAGTGTAGCTCAACCCCTCTGGGTGCCACCTACTCCCAGGGCCACACCTTATTATCCAAATGAGAGAAAAGACCGAGTCTCGAGTCATGGCACTACCGCGCCAGACTGCAGTGATCTTTCAGATCCCCGTGGTGCATCAAGACTTAAAGGTGCGTGCATTTGGAGTGGCTCCCCACAGAGTGTTCGACCCAGTGTTCCTGGGGTATCATCCTGGAGTCCTAATCGCCAAAGGTGGAGTCAAGTTAGGGAAGAAGTGGAGAAAGAAGTGAGATTCTTTCACCCTGCTTCTGTCCTCAGTACTCCTCAAAAAGTGCTCTGGAATTTCTCAAGTCTCCCCAGTGGCTCTTGGGCTGAGGGCTGCACCCCTCTGTAGCCCAACCCAGGCATCATCCCAGACAGCCTCTGAGAACTCCCTTGGTTGGGCTGAACAGTGCCCCCCAGGTTGCTTGGGTACCCCAGAGTCTAAGGGAGGTGGAAAGTGTGAAGCTGGTGTAGGCCTTGTGTGGGGCCAGGTGATTGAAGAGGGTCCCGCATCCCAAACCTTTTCCTGCCTTGGGGAAGATGGCACAAGCCAGCGGACAGCAAGCCCAACCTTGTCCTGAGAGAGAAACCCTCCCATCTGCAGGGTGTGGAGTAAGGGGGCCCTGGAAGGGCGGGGGACAGGTGATGCCCCCCCGTGGGCAGCCATGGAGGGCTCCAGAAGAGCTGGCATGTCTAAAAGCAGCAGACAGGATGCTGTCTTAGGCACCCTCTCCCGCATCCTTCCTCTAGTCCTAAAGAGGAGTCATGGCGGCATTTCCTCACTGGAGGTTCCAGCAGCACCTGGAAGGTTCCCCAGGAGGAAGACTCCTGCATCGTCCCTCCCAGGACCAAGAGGCCACCGCTTTCCTGTGAGCAGGTTCTTAGAAGAGACTCGGGGCATGGATTTGAGGGTCTCCTGAGGTCGGGCCAGGGAGCATCTGAGCTTTATCTGACGAGGCACCCTTTCTTCTCAGGGTCACCAAAGCAGGTACAGCAGAGGACATGGACCTCGTGTGGGCTGCAAATCCTCACCAAATGCACTTTGTGCCCAGGGCCCTGGCTGCTGCTCTGAGCTGTGTGGTCATGGGAGACAGACACCAGACAGACTCTGCTGGGCAAAACAGGGCAGGGAGGGGCCAGAGGGACACAGCTGGGCTGGGGAATGAGCACAGGTGTGCCCCAGCGGTGATTGTCGCAGTGGACCCTGAGGGAGAAGGTGCCCCATGCTGGGGGAGGAGCTTAGAAAACAGGAAGGAGCCAGGGTGGCAAGTGGGAGAAGTAGTGCAGGATGAGAGGACCCTGTGCTGCGGGAGGCCACCAAGGGCTCTCAGGAGTCAGAACAGAAGCAGGCGGACGTGGCCACAGTGTGCAGAGTGGGCCATCTGCAGGGGTAGGTGGGAGGCCGGCTGCTGGCTGCAAGTAGGAGCCATGGAGGCATGACCAGGTGGATGTGTGCTGGAGGGGAGGATGGCATGCCAAGCAGCAGGCTGCCCGAGCTGTTCACAAGACCTCTGAGGCCAGGTGGGAGCCCCAGAGGCGTCAGCTCATGACCTGGCTACTCCACTCTGGAGGGAGATCTGTAGCACCCATCACATTCTTAGAGAGAGACAGATCACTAAGATGTGTGGGTGTCATGGAAAGAGCCCCAAATACTCGAAGCAGAAACCAACAGAACGGAAAAGAGAAAGCACCCTGCTTTCAGTAGAACTACTGTAAAGATGATGGGAAGAGGAGGACCAAGCAGCCCTGGAAGCCAGCCAGCCCTGGCAACAGGGCACTCATCCTCACCATGCACAGGGACCTTCTGCAGGATGGACAGACACCTCTCCAATTTAAAAGGATTAAAGTCATGCAAAGTACATTCTCCAGCCACAGTGGAATGAAATTAGAAATTCTTAACAGAAGGAAAACCAGGAAATTCACACAGAGCTCATGTGTGGTCACAGGTGGCCAGATGCAGAGGCCTTGGTTGCAGTGATGATGCAAATATCCTTATGGGAGCTGAAAGAGCAGGAAGACAGACGCCCAGGTATCCTGGCCCAGACACCAGTACAGATAAGGCCAGGGCACAAGCCTTTGCTGTCTGTCCATGGCCTGCAGAGTGTCTAGGACAGCATCCCTTTGTTGGAACAAATCCCAGCAAGTTCCGAGGACCAGTTCTCTCCTAGAACTTGGGAGTCTACTGCATGGGCTCTAACACAGATCACTGAGTCGAAATTGAAGCCACAGAGGGAAAGTGTAAGGAGCAACAAGACTGAGTCACCAAGGCTTTTATTCCTGTCTGAGGAAAGCAGGGCATACCTGGATGAGGGAGCAGGTCGTCTGTAGTGGTGTGAAGCTCTGAGAGCCGACCATCTCCAGGCCAGAAGTTATTCAGGAAAGGGAAGGTTTCCCAGGACCAAGGAGGTGACCACAGAGGGTTTCGGTAAAGTCGAGATGCTTGTTAAATTATACGACGAAAGAAGAGCTTTTTAGAACCATGGGTTGAGATGTAGGGGTAGGGATGTGCTGGGCCGGCCATTAGAAATACGTGGGAGGACAAGGGAAGGCAGGCAGTGCCACACCCAAGAATATCAGGCTGTGGAAAGATGGCTGGCCTCGCACAGGGACCTACATCAAGTGCTGGGAGGCCGCAGGGCTCAGAGGGTGGGTAAGATGTGTCCTTGCCATTTCTCCACTGCCAGGGTCAGGAAGCTGGTGTGAGTCGTGGCTAGGATGCCTGCTGTCCAGACCTGGGACTTGGGCCCCACTTCTGAGCCAGGGTTGCAGCAGCCAGGGCAAGTACTTGCTGTCTCTGTTCCTCTCGCCTTTGCTAGTAGGGTGAGTGGTGCCTGGGGCCTGTGTCCCCCTGATGTCCCTCTAGAGAGGGATGATCCCAAGAGAGTAGGCCTGGCGGCAAGCCAGTGACACAGTCTGTACAATCAAACACTACTCAGCCTCTGGCCTCACAGCACTACAGGAATGCATCTTAAACCCTTTCACGGGTCCTCCAAGCTACCTCACCTTGTGGCTGGACCCAGGATTTAGTTCACAAGACCTGGTTCTGCCAGTCAGCCTGTCCCCTGAACTTGGAAGCCCTGTGCCTATGCAACCCAGGGGTCTAGCTTTAAACAGCAGGGGCCAGCTTTGAGTTTAGCCACACAGTGAGCAGTTGTAATCACACCAGGATCAAAGCTTCCTGTCTGTCTTCTGGGCTCCACCTGCCTCATCTCTGAAGGCCCAGAGACTTCCCTGCCAGGAAGATATTAGCATCCCCAGTGTCAGAGAGGGAACCAAGACACCCCCCCCCAACCCCCGCATTCAGCCCCATAGAAAATAAAATCAGCAGAGCCAGGATCCCTTCTGCATGCCTTCGGGAGGGGGACGGCATGGGTACGACCTGGGGTCCTGCTCTCGCATCCCAGCACTGCTCAGTGCAGCCTCAGAGCTGGCATACTGGACACAAGGACCTCATTTCATTTGGGGCACTGATACTTTCACAGTTTCCCCATCACTGAGAGAACCCACCACAACCGGGCCCGGTGGCACAGACCTGTAATACCAGCTACTCAGGAGGCTGAGGCAGGAGGATCGCAAGTTTAAGGCCAACCTCTGCAAGTTAATGAGACCCTGTCTCAAAATAAAAAGGCCTAGGGACGTGGTTCAATGGTAGAGCAACCCTGGGTTCAACCCCCAGAGACACCAAATAAATAAGAGAGGGGCTTGGGATTGTGGCTCAGTGGTAGAGCGCTTGCCTAGCATATGTGAGGCACTGGGCTAGATTCTCAGCATCATATACAAATAAATAATTTTAACAACTAATAAAAATATTTTAAAAATAATAGTAAAAAATAAGAGAGGCTCCATACGTGGTATTAAGAGGATTTTGTTTCCCCAGCATTTGGATGGCAGTAACCTCTAATCCTCTCAGTTGCCCAGGTACACACACAGGGTTAGTGACAACTTTCCCTCACCTTACACAGTCCCCTAGGACCAGTTCCACAGAGCTCTCGTGACAGACCTCAAGCAGCTTGCTCTCCTGACACAAAGCTGAGCTGCCAAGGAGGAATTCCAGATTGCGGTCCTTTTCTGACTGTTGTAAGTTAGCTGTGTGACTTTGAAGAAACCCCTGCTCTCTCTGGGTTCTGGCTGCTGCAGACTCCGGCCCACAGCCTGTTTTTGTGCAGCTGGGGAGCTGAGACATTGTTTACATTTCTAAAGATTTATAAGGGAAAAGCAAAGAAGGTGGCAGAGGCCAAATGTGGCCTGCCAAGCCAAAGCACTGACGGGCCCTTTATGGAAAAAAAGTGCCAGCACTTCTCCCCGCGGGAGGATCTCTCCTGGTCCCTGTCACCTTCAGATTTATTTATTCCAGTTACTTCTTTCACACACTGCTCTGCAGTTTGCAGAGAACTTTCACATGCATCATCCCATTTACTCCCTAACAGCTCATTGAGGCAGATAGACCTCCTGTGGCCAAACTTGACTCTTGAGGAGATTTTTTCAAAAATAGGAAATTGGTTCTTCTCACTCTTAAATGAAATGGTATTCGTTCGCTCCTCAGAGTTTGCTGGTGTCTGCTGAGGTCTGGAGAACAATACACCCCTGAGAAGGGGCTTATGTGAGGGATTGTGTATGGGGTTGGGGGCGCTCATTCTAAATCTCAACTGCTACTTGTTTATATTCTGGAATTAAAAATTGTAAAAGGAGGCAATTCTTGCGCCCACTTCTCTTGGCTTGTGGTGGTTCTCTGGTCCATAAAGTTGTTGTACAGGGTTAGATGGTTCTGTCCCGAACGCTTCGCAGTGGACTTTGACCCCAAGCATCAAGCCTTCACCTGCTCTGGCAGTAATAGCCCAGCTTGAAACAGGACGCTGTTCCTGGGCAAGGAGTGGACACCAAGTGGATCCGATGTTAAGTGGCCATTTCAAACAACCCTGCTGCCCTTGCGGTAGAGAGGGTCGCTTGTCAGCTCTTGGCAGAATGAATCGTGGCCAGGTGAAGTTGTGCTGTGCTTGAGTCTTGGGGGTGGCATGCCAGTCAGCTGTGACCTGTGGAGAAGCAGAGAACCTGGTCCCATGCTGGGAGTCTTTGAGCTATGAAGAGGATTCTGGGTTTGGGAAGCCACCACAAACAGCAGTCAGAAGTTGCCTCTGAGTGGGCTGAAGTTCCGTGAAGGCAGCAGAGACAGCACCAGGAGTTGGCCCCAGTCGTGCATTGAGCACCACTGGCTCCAGAGCTGGGGCTTGGGTCCTGGGACGCCCACCACCCTCTCACCAGCCTGCCATGTGCTCTTGTTTCAGAGGTCAGCTGGAGGCTCCAGTCCTGAAGCAGGAGAAGGTAAGGAAGTCTCCAAAGCGAATGGCTATCTTTGGTGGTGAAGGCAGAGATAGCCTGATGTTCATCCTGTTCCACATTATTTTCTGTAGATTCTGACCGAGAAGATGGAAACTACTGCCCTCCTGTCAAGCGAGAAAGAACGTCCTCTTTAACCCAGTTCCCACCTTCACAGTCAGGTAATGATAAGAGCATTTATCTTTTTGTCATTTATTGTTCCCTTCTGACACCTCACATCCACCATCTGACCCCTGCCCAGATCAGTTAGGATCAGCCTGAGATGTGGCCTCTCAGGAGTGAACTCAGAAGTTGCCCGAGTGGAGCACCACGTGTCCCCCATGTGCAGTCAGTGACACTTAACAGCATGGTGAGACTTAGCAGACAGAGGATGACAGTAAAGAAATTGTGCCTCTGAAGTAGGAGACAAGGGCCGAGCATTGAGAGCCCTTTTGGGAGGGGCTCTGACCATTCATAATCCTTCCTGAGACTGCTGTGACACTGTGCACTGACAGTGGAGCAGCCCAGGGGAGGGGACTTGGTGAGGCTTGGAGGAAGGGCCAGAGCATTAGTTTTATGCTGCCCTCCAGTTCCACTTTGCTACAGCCCGTCTCGGTGCACTCAAGCTGTTGCTCAGAGAGTTCCACTTCGTTTGTGGACCCCCGTGGACTGGCCCACACCCCAAGAAGCAATTGCTGCTGTAAAGAAAAGTCTTAAACTATACCCAGGGCATACCCAGGGCATCTGTGCAGTGTGGAGGCAACAGGCCCTTAGGCACACAGGCAGGTCTGGCAGAGGCAGGTTTCTAGGACAGAGTGGTTGGGGCTACTCAGGAAGCTTAGACAGCCTGGCCCTCGCCTCCAGAATGCAGCTGCCCTGCAGGGTCAAGGGTAACTGCTGGCCCTGGGCTATTCCCCGAAGTGACTTGGTCCACACTGGTATTGTTTTGTGGTCTGTGTGCATCACCAGTTTGGAGGCACATGTGTGTGTAGAGATGAGTTCTGGTTGCACAAAGTAAAATGCACTCTTGGGAAGTTCACAGAAAACGTTTTGCAGTTGGGAACTTTGTGGCTGTGGCTATCACTGCAAGGGAAAGATCACTCAGAACGTGGCTTTGTTCACACAGAGATGCACACATTGCAGGAGCACAGGGCAGAGGCAGCGCCCAGCAATGCTGTCACGCCTCCTGCCCTTAATGTCTATTTTGGATATTGCCATATCCTTTATCAGCTGCATGAGGCCCCCGAGCAGACACGCTGTCACTTGTCCCCAGATATTAAGGAGCTGCCTGGTTGGTTTGCATCCTTGTTTAAAGTTTTCTGCACACCTGGATAGGTGCTCCTGTAGGAGGAGGCAGCTTCCCTTCCTACTCAGTCACCGCAGTGTCAGGGCAGAAGTGGAGCTGGAGATTGGTGAGCATTAGTTTTATGCTGCCCTCCAGTTCCACTTTGCTGCAGCCCGTCTCGGTGCACTCAAGCTGTTGCTCAGGGAGTTCCACTTCATTTGTGGACCTCATGGGCTGGCCCACACCCCAAGAAGCAATTGCTGCTGTAAAGAAAAGTCTTAAACCATCAGGGTAGGGCACATGCCTGGCTGCTGAGGAGAAATGGGCTGAGGCAGCCTTCAGTGAGGCCCTATGTGCCAGCTGGCTGCCCCTGCCAGGGCCCAGGGTGCCAAGGTAGGGCTGGGAGTATGAGCTAAGATGGGCAGCCAGCTGTCAGACCGCTTGAGGCTGTAAGGACAGGCTCCACTCTCATTGAGAGTTTAAATGCTTGTCTTCGTGCTCCTGCATGCAAGAGAATCCCCCCTTGTGTGCCCCGCCTACTCATGCTCTTTTCCCTCTTGTTCCCTCCCCCGCCTGCATCTCCATGCCGACAGTGTCAAAACACAATGTTTTTATGCCATCAACCTTCTGCGAGTCCTCTGCAGGCAATTCTGACTCAGACCCAGGTGAGACCTCATGTCCCTTTGCCCGTCCACCTGTCCCTGGGGATTTTCCTGAGATAAACACAGTAGTGAGATTCTCAGTAACTTAGCAAGACTCTGTCTCAAAATAAAAAACGCCCTGGGTTCAATCCCCAGTACTGTGTGAGAGAGAGAGAGGGAGGGAGGGGGGAGACAGAGAGAGAGATTTCTTTTCAATTTTTCACACAATGTATCCATATTGTAAAAAAAAAAAAAAAGGAAGAAAAATTCCCTTGCCCAATCTCCATTCTCCTACCCCAAAATAGCTACTATGAAGCGCATGTGATTTTTTTTTTTCCAGATCCATTTCTGTGTATTAAATTTTCACATTAATATTGCCCAGGTCTGTTAGATAAGCATGTATCATCACAACTTTAAAGCTGAGGAAAACAATGTGATCCCTTCTGCAGAGTACAAGAGCCTTCCTTTTTTGGTCTTTTGCTAGAGAACCAACTCCAGAGTGTCCTGAAAATTTCTCCCACATGGCTGGAATTCCCCATAAAATATTTAGTGAGCAAGTTTAACAACCCACATTCTGTAACCCAGCCTGCCTTATATAAATCCATTGCCAACTTCAGAAGCGTTGTGAGATAAGTCCCATGCTGGCAAGGGAAGAGGTGACGTGAATTTTTATAACTTGGGTGGCATAATTTGAAACAGTGGAATTCATTTTGACTCTACAAGTTAACTGTTTCAACTGACCCCCTGACCTCATCTCAAGGAGGAGCTTGGTTCTTCAAGGTCCTCAGAGCCAGCCGGTAGGTTGTACCTGGGTGTCACTTGGGCAGGCAGCATTCTGAACCATGGAGGCAAAGTCCGCCAGTCCCTGGTTGTGGTCTCCATTATCCATCATGGGAGCACTGTGAGCACAGGTACGAGTCATTCTTCAGATGCACCTCTGAGTCTCCCCTGTCCTCTTTGTCCACTAGTATTAGGAGCAGGTGGCCCAGGAAGCCAAGATGGCTGGGGTCCATTCCACAGCTTAGACAAAGCCTTGATTTAAAGTCCCTGATACCCTAGTGCTGGGCATGTGGGAGGCGTGTCAGGGCAGCTGCACAGTGAACTTCACGTCTTTTTTAACTTTAATTTTGAAAACCTTCAGTACTTAGAGAAGTCGTAGAGTGTTTCCATAACACTGTCACCTGGAGACTGCCTTCCACGTCCTTCATTTGTCCACGTAGTCTTTATGGTAGAGGGATCATGTCCATGTCACACCCTGTGTATCTCACTTTCCATCTGCTAAACCAGAGTGTCACATTTCCATCTGTGAAGGTTGTAGGCCATGGGTCTTGTGGAAGTCCTTGGGTTTGGTGAAGAGACCCAGGGAGTGTCTTGGGTGGGAACCCCCAGGGGGGACACCCTGTTCTTGGTGTACACCGTATTGGCTTTGTCCTCTTGCTAGCAGGGTTCCCCTTGATGGCTCAAAGAGGTGAAATCATCCAGTTGTACCATTTGCTTTGAACATAGTTCACCAGTTGCACCAATCACGTGAAGTCATTTCCCCCACCCCAATCAGGCAGATTCCTGTGTTGCTGGGTCAGGTGCCCTTCGTTCTGTTTTCCCTGTTTTTCTCTGTTTTCACATTTTTTTAATTGGTGCACTGTAGTTCATAATGGGGTTTGTCCTTACGTATCTGTACCTGTTCACAACAGAACAACATAATTTGGTCAGCACTTCTCCCCTTTCCCCCAGGTTCCCTTTGTTCTTTTGAATACTTTTTTTTTGCTTTCTGTCCCAACAAGAGACTCCATGCTTGTCATCTTTCCCTGTTCCGGTCCTGGACTCTTCCTCATTTCTCAAAGGGACCCTGTCCTTTTGTAGTAGAGAATGGCCTTTTGAACCAAGGTCTGGGTTCTGAGCCTCTTGTAGGCAGACCTGGGAACATGCGCAGCTCTCCACCTGCGTGATTGCTCCATCTCTTTCCTGTTTGCATAACCCAGGGCCTAACCTACCTCTCCTCTGCAAGGAAGAAACCTGGCTCTGCCTCTTCTCAGCTCGTCCCTCCCCTCAGCAGCCTAGCCCACTCCTGCCCTGCCCTGCCCTCCCCTGCCCTGCACCGCCCAGCCCAGCCCAGCCCAGCCCAGCCCATCCTTGCTCAGTGCACACTTCCACCAGGCCACCTGCTCTGGGATCCTCTCCTCCATCTGGTGCAGGCCAGGTTTAGTTCCAGGGCATCTTCCTGACTAAATCAGGAGTTCCATCGGGGGTGGCATTGTTTCCTTCAGACTTCACTTGGGGTCCCTGGGAGGCGGGCAGAAAGCACTCAGATAGCAGCCTGCTTGCTCCGGCCTGTCTCCCCGGCAAGCCGGGGCTGCCCCTGGGACTCTGTTCTTCCACTGGGCCCATGGGAAGCAATGCCTGCACCCAGCAGGACCTGGGATGTGTGGGGGACATTGGGGTCAGCCCACAAGGCAGCAGCTTTGTGTTGCAGACAAAGCGCATTTCTAAAAGAAGTGTTTCATGGAACAGGTCCTACAGCAGGGCCTCCAGAGCTTGGCCACCCCACAAGCACACTTCCCTGCTACTTTGTGCCCCCTCTGTCCTCTGAGTGCCCAGTTGCCATTAGAAGCGTCCCACCCCTACGCAGGCGTACTTTTCATATTTGTCTTGTGCTTGGAAAGGAAAAGGCAAGACGTCTGTCCGTTCACTGCAGCACCCAGCATGGATTCCCTGTGTGTCTGTAGGGTGGGCCAGGTTTGGGGTAGGCCATTCAGTGGCCATGATGTCCCAGGCCTTCTGCCCCTGCCAGCCTCTCCTGGCATAGGCTCTACCCAGCCAGGTGCTGAGGAGCAGTCTATAGCCAAAACATAAATGTTGTAAACTGGCTCTCAGGGCTTCTGAAAAATTATTTAAATTGTGCATTTGACCTCAACTTGAAAAATGTGACTTAATAGCTAGTCATCAGCTAATAACTCAGCATTTGCCTTCTGGAATGGACCACCTGGCGGGCCTCTTCCCTGGTGCTTTGGCACCTCCTCGGGGGGTTGTGTGGCCACTCTGTCAAACCAGAGACATCAGCCTCACAGCACTGGGCTCAGCAGCGCCTCTTCAGTGGGCCGCAGCCTTCCTGCTTGTTCTGAATTCTGACTTGATCTTATTTCGTGTCTGAGAGTTTGATCTGATGGGATTCTTAGGATTTTGATGTCGTTTTCTTGTACAGTTGAATGGCTCTTAATGAACCCGCCAAGTTATGCTGCGAACATCATCATTAATTTCAGAACCTTCCCACTACCCCAAAAAGAAGCCCTCCTGGGGATCATGAGCAGTCACCCCATCCTCTCCCAGCCCCCAGAAACCATGAATCCATTTTACTTCCTGTCTCTGTGGATTTACCCCTTCTGTGCATTATATGCATAAACACATACACACACACACATTGTATATATATTATATGTTAATGGGTCTTTATTTTGTCCATTTATTTATATGCAGCACTGAGAATCGAACACAGTGCTCCACACATGAGCCACAGCCCGACTCCTGGACATTTCTTATCAATGAAGTCATATACTATGTGGCCTCTTGGATTCTCTTTCCCTTTATATTATTAGTTTTTTAATTCTTCAAACAAAATTTGCTTCTGTTACATTTATTCCCAAGTATTTTATTTCTCTTGGTGCTGTTGAAAATGGAATTTTTTTCTTAATTTCATTTTCAGAGTATTCACCCTAGTATATAGAAACACAATTGATTTTTATATGTTGGTCTCATGCCCTGCACCCTGGCCTGGGCTGACCCTTAGCATAAAAGCAAGGCTGCCTCTAGACCCTTGCTCTCTCCAGAAGACCCAGGCCTTTGTGATCATCCTTCCTATTATGGATCAGTTTAGACTGCTCTCACCACCTTCCGTGGGCAAGGTCACTGAGACCTGCCAGTCGAGGGATCTGTGGACAACAGACTGTGCCAAAACCAGGCTTTCTAGCCCTCCCAGGATCCCTGGGCACTTGCTGTTCTCGCAGGTGGCCAGGGGTGCTCTTGTCCAGCACCAAGGCAAAGCTCCAGAGGCATATCTGGGGGTGGAGCAAACCCACCATCTGCCACTTTGGTCTTTTCTTGACCTTGGACACATTCTCTGATGGACAAGTCTTCTAGGAAAAAGGAGACCAATCCTGTTGTCCTCAAGTGTAAACCCTAAGCTGTCTGCCTCGAATCCCGCTCTAGAGGCAGGGCTCTGATCTTGGGGGACTTCATCACCTCCGCTGATGCCTTCATCCTCCTGTCCGTCCCCTGTTGTCAGCACTTTGCCCTAGAGCCAGTGCTTCTTACAACCTGGGCTGCCCAGCTGCCTGCTGGCTGGCCCCAGCTTCTGCCTTTCTGTTAATTTGGAAACGTTTCCCAAGTTCCTTAGGCCCATGGTCACTGAGGCTAGACCTGAAGCCCTTCTTCTGTCCTCTGCCCTCTGGGCTTGGCTGCTCTGCCCCAGGCAGGTCTGCTTTTCATGTTTTGTCTTGTGCTTATAGAGGAAAAGAGCAGCGGGTTCCGGCTGAAGCCACCGACACTGATCCATGGCCAGGCGCCCAGTGCAGGTAGGTGGCCCACATCCAGAAAGGTGATGGGAATGGCTTCCTCAGATCTTTCCAGGCTCCTTCACAGCCTGCTGTCCGGGTGAGACCTGACCTGTGAGCCATGGAAAGCTGCTTACGGAGGACCTCTCTGAGCAGGGAGCTGCTGGGGCTCTCTGCACTCAGAGCAGGAGAGGCGGTGTGGGCTGTGCTCAGCAGCAGCAGTGGTTCCAGAGTGTGGCCCAGTGTGCCAGGGTTCACCTGATGACCAGAGCACCTGGCTCCCCTGCACCCTGCTCATGAGCAGGGCCCAGCAAGGGAAGGACTTAGATGGAAGCCTGCAAGGACAGGACACCTCCTCTCAGGGTCCTTGCCCAGCCTGTATTTGGCAGAGGGATCTTCTCCATGTGGTTTTTAAAGAGTAGGTACAGAAGATGCCTTTATATGATCCCAGAGTCCAAAATCTGGGGAATTGCTGTGAATGCCATGCCCTCCCCTCCTCCTCACCATCTGCTCTTCACTTTTTTGGGGGGTGGGGGATACTGGGGATTGAACCCTGGGGCCCCAGCCCTTTTTATTTCTTATTATGAGACAGGGCCTTGCTAAGTTGCCGAGGCTAGCCTTGAACTTTCGATCCTCCTGCCTTGGCCTCCCGAGCTGCTGGGATTACAGGCGTGCACATGGTTTCTCTTCACTCTTGAGTCCAGTATTGCCCTTGATGAGTGTACTAGCTGGTTAATTCACAGTCATGATTGGTGATGTGGGAATTTCATAAAGAGCTAGAATCTGCGTGTCTAGTTGTAAAGAAAAGGTTTTCTAAAAGCTGCTTCCTTGCCTAATCCAGCCAGCAAGGGACACTGGGGTTAGTTTGTTCTGAAGCGCCTGGGGGACGGGGGTGTGTGGGGGGGGGGGTGCTGCATTTCTGCTGGGCATCCAGGGCCCTAGGAAAGCCGACTTCCATTGCAGGTTTGCCAAGCCAGAAGCCCAAGGAACAGCAGCGCAGCGTTCTCCGCCCAGCCGTACTGCAAGCCCCACAGCCAAAAGCACTGTCGCAATCCAGTAAGAGATGCAGCCCAGGAACCACTGAGTGTACTCAGAAATACAGAGAACAGAGGAGGTCCTTTAAACCAGCCCAGGCTCCCCGAGGCTCTGGGCAGTGTGACTGGGTCACACATGCGTCACCCACTCACTGTCTTCATAAAAGCCAACCTGAGCCTGTGAACGTGTAGATTTGTCCCTGCATGTCTACAGACAAAACTTAGCCATGAGCCACACAGGTCTTCAGAAGACTTGCCAGTTATGGCCATGGGGCCAACATTTTCATCTTCCTGCCCACTTCACACCCACTCCTGAGCTGTGTCTCCCTCACATCCATACCAGGAGCAGTTTTTCCTATTTCCAGTTCATCCTTAACCTTCTTATTTATGAGCTTTTCTTCTTTTTGGTCTTTCCCTGTAATTGAGAACTCTTCATCAGAAACAGCTCAGCCTCTCAACACAGGGAACTGGTTAATATTTCTGAAGGGTTTTTAATTATAGAGGAAATTATCTTAATTTGATGTTTAACAGTCAAAGCCAGATTTATTTATTTATTCATTTAATTTTGGGGAGGGTACCAAGGATTGAATTCAGGGGCACTCAACCACTCAGCCACATCCCTAGTCTTGATTTGTTTTGTTTTATTTTATTCAGAGACAGGGTCTCACTGAGTTGCTTAGCACCTTACTTTTGCTGAGGCTGGCTTTGAACTCGCAATCCTTCTGTCTCATCCTCCCAAACCGCTGGGATTATAGGCATGTGCCACTGAGCCCGGCTAAGGCCAGATTTTAATGTTTGAGTCATATGCTCTCCAGAGTTGGGTTTATATATATATATATATGTTTGTTTATTTTTACGTGGTGCTGAGAATTGAACCCAGTGCCTCACACATGCCAGGCAAGTGTACTACCGCTGAGCCACAACCCCAGCCCAGAGTTGGAGGGTTTTTTTTTTTTGGTGGGGGGGGGGGGGCTGTTTATTTTTGTTTGGTACTGGGGATTGAACACACGGGTTCTTAATCACTGAGCATGTCCCCAGCTCTTTTATTTTCTTTTTTATTCTGAGACACAGAGTCTCGCTAAGTTGTTGAGGCTGGCCTGGAACTTGCAATCCTCCTGCCTCAGCCTCCTGAGCCGATCTCAGTGCAAGTGGCTTTTAGTAGAGATGCCAGGCCCTTTCCTACTAAGGGGACTTGACTGTCCAAAGGAGGTCCCTACATGGGGTGCAGCACCTCTACAGCTATAGGAGAGGTGGGCTGGAGGGGTCCTGGCTGGATGCCCAACACTCCCCACTCTCCTTTCTTCCCACAGTCCCTAGCAGTGGCACCAATGGAGTCAGCATCCCAGCAGACTGCATGGGGGCAGCGACATCATTATCACCAGAAAACCCTGCACGGAGAAGTCCCTCTGAATCTGCTGACGAGGCACATGCACTTGAGGTCAGTGTGTTCTGGGGAAGGGGGCCACCATGTGCCCAGCCCAGCGGGACCGGAGAGTCAACTCCTCTTGCCGAGTTCACAGCTCTTTAGCCGTGGGCCTGTTTTTGCATTTGCTCAGTGGTCTAGAAAAATACCCAGGCTGGGAAGTATATAAAGAAAAGAGGTTCATTTAGCACACAATTTTAGAGGCTGAAAGTCCAAACAGGAGGGCACCAGCTCTGCCTAGGACCCTCTGGCCGTGTTTCTTCATGGCAATAGCGTCTCGGCAGGAGCGAGAGGGAGATCACAAGGCAAGACAGGAAGCTGGGAGCAGGGAGGGGACAGTCCTATTCTTTGATAACATCTTGCCTAGAGAGAACTCCCCAGGGTCCCATGACAACTCAATCAGTTTCTTCCAGGGGCAGTGCCCCCACCCCACCCTATGCCCCAGCCACCTGTGCTAGGCCCCACCGTTTCAAAGTTCCAGCATATCCCCATTTCCACATGGGGGACCATGCTTTCAGAACGAGAACCATCATCCTGTGCCCACAGACCCTAGAACACTGGCAAACCATGAGCCTGCCAGGGGGGTCCTTTCCTCAGCCCGGGAGATTAGCGCCTCAAGCAGCCTGCTGGGCAGGCCCTGTGCTACCGAGCATCTGGCCCCCAGTGTGTGTGGTCCTTTGGGGTAGCTTATCCTGAGTCCTGGGAGTCACTGGGTCCAGAGGAGTGGCTTTCATGAATGATTGTCTTGCAATATTTCATGGGAAGAAGAACCTCCCCCTCTGCACACAAGAGTCAGTTCTCCAGGATTTGGGTGGTTCCATTGAGTTGGAAAGCATGCCTGGGGGCAGCTCGGGAATAGTTCATTTAAGAAAAATTAAAAGGTCCCCCAGGATTCCAGGACTGTGGAGGCCCAGGGCAATGTATTTCACAGCAGCTGAAGTGGGGGACATTAGATGACCAGCTGCTCCCAAGCTTGGCAGGTGCCTTTTGGTCATCTGCAGTAATGCACCACTTGGCATCTCTGAAAAGCCTGCCTGGACCCGCGTGTCTTCTGTACTCTGCAGCCGAGTCAACAGACCTGCTGCCTGTGGTTTTGAACCCTCCACTCAGGTGGGAGCTTGGCTGTCTCTAGTTATGTTCTAGAACTTCCCCTGCCCCTGTGTTCAAACCACAGGTCTCAGTTGGGAATGTGGGAATAGGAAATGCTGAGGCGTTGAGGGCAGTGGGTCAGGAGCACAGATCTTCTGAGTTGGAGGGGCTCCTGGAAGAGACCCAGCCCGTCCCTGACACTGCTCACTTCCTGACAGCGAGTGCATGGCTGTGCTGGTGGCACCAGTTGCCACAGCTCACACGAGCTGTAGAGTTTCAATCCGTCCCAACCCAGAAGGTGTCCCCCTGAGTTGCCCTCCTGCATCTAGCCCTTCCCCAGCCCTACAGGCCACCGGGATCGCTCCTCTCCATCTCCTGTGCTGGGCTGCGGATGATTCTATCTGGCTCCCAGTTCCTCCTGACATCCCCCTTCTGCCATCCAGCCAGTGCTCCCTGTGGGTGTGGGTGGAGCCACACAGGCCACACATGCCACCAGCAGTTCTGCATGTGGCTGACACTAGGACAGAAGTGGAGGCTCTTGCTGCTGGCACTGCCACACTTGCTATCCTCTGACACCCTGGTCTGCAGGGACTGAGGGTTCACCAGGCAGACTTTTGTCTTTCTTGTCACCTCAGAAACATGGCACACACTGACATGCTACCATGGGGGACCATGAGATAGTAGACTTAAGGCTCAGGTGACACATGGGGCTTTATTTGCTTTGCTTTTTTGGCAGTGCTGGGATGGAATCCAGGGTCTCCCATGTGCTAGAAAAGGATTAACCACTGAACCACTCCACCCGGTTCACTTTTGATCAAAATGGATTTACACTTTCATATCTCACAACTTGTTTATCTTTCTGATTGCTGAGGGCATCCTGCCTTTCTCGGTAGCAGCTGCATTGTGAGTTTTTCCCCCCCGTTGTGTTTTAAATCCTAAGTTATGTTAGTCCTTTGGCTAACGATGAACCTCTGGGTTGTTTCCAGCTCTCTGCCAGTATTGATGGTGCTGCAGCAAGTACCTTGCTCTGTCTCTGCCAGAGCCCTCCTCGAAGTGTTTCTGAGAACAGGGTCTCAGAAGTAGCTTCTAGCCATGTTGGGTGTGATGTTCATCTCTGCATCTTATCCACCTAGACAGAAAGGCCACCACTCATCAGTGGGCTTTTCAAAACCAAAACCTAGTCTGACTCTATGCCCAGAAGCTCTGGTACCATTTAGGCCACCCTGGCCTTACAAAGGTCCAATCCTGTTAAGTAACCCAGGGGACTATGGGTTGGTTGCAAGCATCCCAGGGTGGGTAGAAGCCTCCAGCATTGCCTGTCCAGGCCACCGCATCTCACTATCCACTTAGGAACCACCTCTGCCAAGGCATGGGAAGAGGCTGGCAGCCCTTTGCCCTACCAAGGCAGGGGGGGCCTCTTGACCCCTTTATCTAAAGCAGAGCCCTGCGCCTGTTTAGGGAACCTGCAGCACATGGAATGGGTCCTTGTCTGCCTCTCCCACGGCTCTACCCAGGGAGAGCTGACCCTGCTGCTGGCAAGGCAGGTGTGCTGGGGAGTCCTCAGGCCCCCGCTGGCCCAAGGACCACAACCGAAAGAGCCACATGGAAAAGACAGAAGAGTGTTCTGGTTCTGTGTATCTGGGCTAATGTGTCCCCTTTTCCCAATTTTTGTGTTTTGTTTTTAATAGGAGAAAGAGCCCCAGAAAAATGAGTCTAGCAATACTTCTGAGGAGGAAAACTGTGAGAAGAAAGATCAAGTTGCACAGCAAGCCTTTGTATTTGGGCAGAACTTGAGGGACAGAGTTAAGGTATGTGATCAGGGATTGAATGAGATATTGAACTACTGAGTTGATTTTTATTTATTTATTATTATTATTTTTTTAATGACTTCGTGTTCAACAAGAAAATCAGTGGACTTTCCTTTAGATTTAACCAGAATATCTGAAAATACAGAAGGGGGGGTTTATCACGGCTCCCAGTCTGAGCTCATCCAGCCTGCTCCGTCCCTTTAGGTCTGAGCAAGGCAGCCTCTCTTGGAGGAAGGACATGGCAGAGGAAAGCTACTTAGTTCAGAGCAGCCAGGAACGGAGACAGAAAGGGTCTGAGACGAGGAATACCCTTCGAGGGTGCGTGCCACGGCCTCCGTCCATCCTTCAGTGGTAGTTCAGTGGTGCAGCACACCTGGGCTCCATCCCCAGTACACATCTTCAGAACACTGCTGCGTTAGGGCAACCTTCAGCACACACCTTTGGGGTCACTCGTGTACCAGCTATGACAAACCATCATCGCCTTTTTTTTTAAGTATTTATTTTTTAGTTGTAATTGTACACAACACCTTTATTTTACTTATTTATTTTTATGTGGTGCTGAGGATCGAACCCAGGGCCTTGCGTGTGCTAGGCAAGCGCCATTGAGCCCCAACCCTGGGCCATCACCTTATTTTTGTTGTAGTTGAGACAGACTCGCACTGTGTTGTCCAGGCTGGCCCTGAGCTCCTGGGCTTAAGTGATCCTCCCGTCTCAGCCTGGAAGTGGCGGGAACAACAGGACACAACACTGTGCATGGACACCTTATTTTCTCAAAAACAGGTTGGGAGCTGGACATGGTAGTACAAACATGTGATCTCAGTGACTTGGAAGGAAGGCTAAGGCAGGAGGATCCAAAGTTCAAGGCCAGCCTAGGTAAACTTGGAGCCTCTGTTTCCAGCTGATGAGTGAAAAGTAAGGAAGGCTGCAGATGTAGTTCAGTGGTGCAGCACACCTGGGCTCCATCCCCAGTACCACCAAAAAGGGTAGGTGAGAGCAGGCATCTGTCACTGGCTGCCCTCAGGTGTGTCAGTCATGTCTGGACACTCGAGTTGAGTGGGAAGCTTTGGCAGTGTCGGAGGACAGCGTCTCTGGGCCCATGGGCTGGAGCCCTGGGAAGCCCCGAGCGCTCTGCCACAGCTCTTCAGCAGCTCATCTGGTAAGAAGCTTCTGTAGTAGCCTGAGAGGTGGCATCAGTGGCTATCTCTGGAACAAGTGTGGTGTCACAACTGGGGGTGTCCCAGCATGGAGTGGGTGGAGGCCAGGGATGTTGCTCAGCATCCTGAAGTGCAGTACTCAGGATGCCCACCCAGAGAATGACCCAGCCTAGTGTCCATAGCACCCAATGGGAAAGCTTAAAATAAGGAATCAAAAATTTCTGCTGAGAAGGTGCTGGATAGTCTTCCTGCTGTCTGCTTGTTAACTCCCTGTCCGACAGCAGGACCAGTCCTGAAACACAGAAACTAGGTGTTGACGCTGCCGCAGCTTTCAGACAAAATAATGAGTCTCTTTTGCCTGTTCCCACTAGGGACGGGTGAGAGACTTGAAATACACCTACACTTAGGCCATTCAGGCCCAGTTCTCTGTCCCTCACATTTGGGGGTGGCTGCTTTGAAGTGGGTGGGATCAGGGTCTCACAGATGTCCAGAGCCTTGGAGTCTTGATGTCAGATCTCTCAGCATCTCCCCTGAGGGCAGCCTTGAAAGAGCCTCAGAGAGTGCTTCTATCCTGTCTGTACCCAGCCCCTTGGGAGGCCCAGGGTGCAAATCTGTGCTCTGTGGTGTGGTCAGAAGTACTGGCCCGCACCAGCTTCAGGGCAGGTGTCTGTGGCGAGGTAGAAGAGCTTCCTGAATGCTCTGTGGTCTGTTTCTCTATCTTAACCACTAAAAGCCACATGTGAAATTGGTGATAGCCACACATAGCACATGCACTCAGCAGGAGCTGACCTCAGAGCCATGACCCACAGTGCAGGGTCCTGCAGACAGATAGCTGTAGAGCCCCAGGCCCTTCTGTCCTGATGGGGTGTTTCTGTTCACAGCTGGTGAATGAGAATACCGACATAGCTGGCTTGGAGAGTGCCGGACAGCCCAGCTCAGACACACCAGCTGCCACCAACTACTTTCTCCAGTATATCAGTTCCAGGTAGGTGTCAGAGCTGGGAAGAGGTGGTGGAAGAAAGCCTCAGCCACGGTGGGGCCATTCATGATCTTTCTGCCTTGGGCCTGGGGACCTTGGTGGTGGACCAGGAGCCAGCCCTGTCCTTCCCAAGGGGTGTGGAGCAGGAGGAAGCAAAAGCCATCATAGTCAAGGTACCCCAGGCCCTCCTTTACTCCCCCTTCTGGGTGAAGCCATGGGCCAGGGTTGTCCCAGACAACGACAGACCTCCTGCAAGACCAGAGTCCAGTGTGCTCATCAGGGGCATATGGAGGATACAGCCTAGCCTCAGAGTGACCCTCTCACGTGGACCAAACGACTAGAGCAGAGCTGATAGGGCCAGTGGCAGCTTGGTCACCTCCTGTAGCCACGAGGGGCCAACCCCAGTGCCCCTTAACGTGGGTGTGGCTACGTGGGGTGAAGGCTGTGGGTTACCCTGGTTGGTGCCTGAGGTGCTACTCCCCAGAGCTTCAGAAGGAGAGGTCTCCCTGCCTGGGAGACAGGCCTGAAGAGCTAATGAGTGTGGCCTCCCCTGTGTCATTGGGATCCTCCACCAAGCAAGCTAAGGCTGGGTTTCTGCCTGGCAGTGTGCATGGCCCAGGGACTCTGGATCCCACTAGCTGCAGCCCGTCAGTAGAGGGAGAGGGGTCCAGACTGCTCCCTGCCGATGTTGGGGGGGTGGTCATTCCTGCACCTGCATGTTGGTGTACGCGTGTTCACACGTGCACATTTACCTGATCACACACTCGTGGCACATCTCCTCTCCAGTTTAGAGAACACAGCCAACAGTGCCGACGCTTCCAGCAACAAGTTCGTCTTTGGCCAGAACATGAGCGAGCGTGTTTTGGTGAGCAGCCCCTCGTGGCACTCTTCTTCTTGGACCCCAAAAGCTTTTAGCACCAACCCCTGATTGATAGGCATGTGGCTGTGGCTGCCATGTCTCCTACAAAATCAGGACTTTAAGTTGTAAATAAAAGAGAAAGAAAGTCAGGCTCAGACTCGGCTTAAAGATGGACTGGCCCTTGACTCTGGTGGCCCAGGGGGCTGACTTAGTCCTAACTTGGTCTTCCCTTGCAGCCATGGGGCCAGACTGGCAGCCAGAGTGCCTTCTCCATCCCTATAAGGGCAGTCGGAATGAGTGACAGCCGTGTGAGGCTGAAGTTCTTGGCCATATGCTGCAGGCCCCCAAGCCCCACCCAGACCACAAGTCTGTAGCCAGTGGGGGCAGCAGGTCTTTTGTTCCCTGTTGAAGTAGAGCCAGCCATGTCTGTGGAACGAGGTCATCCTGGGCATCTGGGCACACATCGTGGCCAGAACACTTGGGTATATGAAAAGGCCATTTTCTGTTCCAGAGAGCCCAGCTGGCATGGGAGAGGGTTCTAGAGCACTGTTCCTCCTGCCTCTATTCTTTCTCTTCCCAATTGAACGGCCACAGCCAGTTGTGACTGTGGGGAAGGCTCTGTTCTGGCCCGTCCTCGTTCTTTCCAGCTCTGTCTGGTTTGTAGCAAGTTGTCCCCACGTCAGTACTGCCCTTTTCCTGCACAACCATCCGTTCACAGACTCACTTCACAGGTTGGTGTGCAGACAAAGATGAATGGCACAGCCCATGTTGGCAATCTGCTGGTGGCGCAGGGCTCCTGGTGGTGCTAGGAGAGACCGTGTTCCCAGAGCTCTGGGGCAGCTCTCAGGTGTTCACATGTGACATTCAGGGTGGCCCGTTCAGACTGGCCCCACATGGTGCTGGGGAGCATCACGCAGAGTCAGGGGCCCAGCTAAGAAGGGTCCGGCACTGCCCTCCCCACCAGGGCTTTCTCCACTCCTGTTTTTGCCACCAGCACCACGTAGTCATTCTCCTTTTGTTTCCCTGCAGAGTTTCCCCAAGTTAAATGAGGTCAGCTCAGATGCCAGCAGGGAAAACGCAGCTGCCGAGTCTGGATCTGAGTCGTCTTCCCAGGAGGCCACCCCTGAGAAAGGTACATCCTAGTCCCGCAGGTCAGCTTGGGGTGGCCAGTGACAAGGGACACTGTATCTCTGCATCCGATGGGGGAGGACTGCAGGGCCTGTCTTCCCCAGCATGGAGACCAGTTAGGAACAGTCTGAGAGCCGTGGTTGTGACCAGGTGCTCTGAAGCAGGCCAGGAAGGTTCTCCTGCATCCTCTCTCAGGAGCCCCGCTGTCCTGTCCTCTGAGGAATGAGAACATTTCACATGTAGTGGCTCTAGATGGTTTTCCCGCAAGGTCTCCTCGAGGCAGTGCGTCTGGCCTGCTAGGGGTGGCCGGCCTCCCCAGGGCAGACCAGTACTTTTGAACCACTGGGAGGCATCCCCTCGCCCCTTTCCAAATACATAGTCAATCTTGTTTAGCTAATAACATTGCAGAGTCCCTGGTCGAGTCAGCAGCTGCCTACACCAAGGCCACAGCGCGGAAGTGTTTGTTGGAGAAAGTGGAAGTGATCACTGGGGAGGAGGCAGAAAGCAACGTGCTACAGGTGAGGGCTGCAGGGAGCTAGCGGGCACAGGCGTGGGGCGGTATCTTTCACAGTGGCCCCAGGCCCTGGTCACAGGCCCGTTGAGGTTACACTGCCTGCCCAGGCACTTCTCATACTGACTCTTTGAGGCAGCTCACGGATGAGACTGTCCTAGCACCTCCTCTCCTCTCCCATACTGAACAGCTGAATTACTTGTCATACTGGCGCCCCATGTAGTCCTGGCCGGGGGGGTGGGGGGGTGGGTATGGGTATGGCCAGAGCCTGGGCGCCCTTCCTGAGGTACCCCCTTGGTGTGCTGCACACCGCCCTCGGCCGTCCCTCCCTCCAAATGGATGTGCATGTGTCCGCCAGCCTCGTGGAGTGCCGCGGGCTTCTGTTGGCACTGCTTTTCCACCCAACATTGTTTCTTTCATCTGTTCATGATAGGGGGGTCACTGATGTGGGGGGGGTCCACATTTTTTTCCTCTGAAGGGCTACATGAGGTTTCTGCCGTGTGCTTTTCTCCTGTTAACACATGTGAGAGCTTTGTGGAGGGATGGCGCACAGCTATAGAAGGTGCCCTTTACAGCGCACGGTTCAGGGGTCGTCAGTGCACGCACAGAGTTGCACAACCGTCACTACAAATGAAAACGTAAAACTTTTTCATCCCCTAAAAAGAAGCCTCATTTTCCTGAGCAGTCATCCCTTGCCCGCCCCAGCCCCTGACAAGCACAAATCCATTTCCTGTCTGTGGATTTGCCCTTTTGGACAGTTCCTGTCGGTGGAGTCGCGTGCTCGGTGACCTGTTGTGCTGGCTCCTCGCTGAGCTTGTTTCAGGCTCATCCCTGCCTTAGCGTGTCAGAGCCTGGTTCCTTTGCACAGCTGAGAAATTCTCCAGTGTATGCTGGGACCACACTTGCCTGTCCGTTCACCAGTTGATAATCAGTGAGCTTTCGCATGGACACCTGGGCATGGAATTGCTGGGCCAAGTGGACACTTGGTGTTTAGCATTTTGAGGAACGCAGAGGGAGTGCTGTTCTTCCACAGCAGCTACCCCACGTCACTCCCCTCCTGCAGCAGCTGACAGTCTCTGGTTCTGGCCATCCTGGTTGGGTGGGAGGAGGTATCTTGTAGTTTCTTTTGTTTCTAAAATCATTTTTTTTTAATATCTCTTTATTACTGTTTGACTTGACCTAGTTTAAGGGAAGGATAAAAAAACTGGGCAAGGCTGGGCGCAATGGCTGTAAATTCCTGTAAACCCAGAAGCTCAGGAGGCTGAGGCAGGAGGATCACGAGTTCAAAGCCAGCCTCAGCACGTTATGAGGCGCTAAGCAACTCAGTGAGACCCTGTCTCTAATAAAATGCAAAATAGGGCTGGGGATGTGGCTCAGTGGTCTGGTGCCCCTGAGTTCAATCCCCGGTACCAAAAACAAAAAAAACTGGGCAAGGACCTGCCATGGCCCTGTGTCATAGTTTGCTGGCCCTGGTAATCCAGGTAACCCACACAGAGACGGGGTGTGCACGACAGTGAGCCGATAGGGCCCTGCTCACCAAGGGCCATGTGTATTCCAGACCCAGTGCAAGCTGTTTGTCTTTGACAAGACCTCACAGTCCTGGGTGGAGCGAGGCCGGGGGCTGCTCAGGCTCAACGACATGGCATCGACCGACGATGGGACACTGCAGTCCCGACTTGGTGAGCTGCCGAGGGAGGGGCTGCCAGGCCTCCTGCAGGTGGGCATGGCAGGGTCCCTATGGAGAGAAAGGGCTTGGGGTTGTTCCAAGATCAGACAAGAAGTGCCTTTCCAGAAGGAGTGAAAGGGAAACCTGACCTGGCCTAGGAATGGAAGACCAGTCGAGACGGGACAGTGTGGCCCCAGCACGCCCAGTCAGCCTGCCAGCTGGGCACCCCCAAAACAGGCCTGACCCAGTGACTCCAGCTGCCATCCCTTCCAAGACTTCTCCCTAGTGTTGAAATATTTAGCAATTTTTAAATTTACTTTCACTGATAAAATAGCAATTTTATGATAGAAAGGAGAAAGAAGAAATCAGCATTAATTATTTCTTTTTAAAGAGAGAAGTCTCTGCTCGTAACGTATTGATTCCTCCTGTTTTGTGGTCCTTTTTAAGGAAATAGGGCAATTTTATATCCTGCTTGTTTCACTTACTATTTGTGAGCATTTTCCAATAGCATTAAATATCCCTTTAAAATAAAGATTCTCCAGCCCCCAGGCGCAGTGGCCCACACCTGTAATCCCAGTGGCTCAGGAGGCTGAGGCAGGAGGATGGTGAATTCAAAGCCAGCCTCAACAACAGCGAGGTGCTAAACAACTCAGGGAGACCCTGTCTCTAAATAAAAAAGAGAATAGGGCTGGGATATGGCTCAGTGGTCAAGTGCCTCTTGAGTTCAATCCCTGATACCCCCCAAAATAAGTAAAGATTATCAGCTGGACACAGTGGTCATCCCTGTCATGCCAGCTATTCAGGAGGCTGAAGCAGGAGTATTGCAACTTCAGGGTTTGTCTGGGCAACTTAGTGAGGCTCTGTCTCTGTCTCAAAATGAAATTTAAAAAGGGCTGGGGATGTAGCTCAGTAATAAAGCACTTGCCTGGCATGCATGGAGCCCTGCGTTCCATCCCCAGTACTGCAAAAAATAAAGAAATAACAATTGGTTTTGAAAACTTCTATGTGAACATTCTATTGGCAATTACTATATTTTAGTCTCTGTTTATTTAGCTGCTTTTTTTTTTTTTTTTTTTTTAATATGGTGCTGGGGATTGAACACAGTGCCTCATGCATGCTAGGCCAAGTGCTCTACTACTGAACCACAACCCTAGCCCCCTATTTAATCCCTGACAGACATTTAGGTTGTTTCAGATTTTTGTAAACTATCATAGATAACAAGACGGGGCCATCTTAATGCATGAATTGTATTTCCATAAGTAAGCTTGTTATAAAAGTGAATATGTGCACATACTGGGGAAAGCTGTGTACGTGTGTGTCTGTGTTTAAAAGCACATGCTCATCTTTTCTCATCTTCTCTGATCAAAGTATTTTTTGTGGGTTTCTGGCCCAAGGTAGCTCACATTCCCCTTAAGCGTTGTTTTACACAGTTCAATTCAGAAACATCCCTGAGGTCAGAGCAGAGATGAGAATCATCCTGCTAAGTTGCCAAGGCTTGCAAAGTTGCCTGTGCTGGCTTCGAGATAGTGGTCCTCCTGCCTCAGTCTCCTGAGTCACTGGAATTAACAGATGTGTGCTACCACACCAAGCTTCAATTGACTTTTACTATTTTCTTATGGAAGCATTCAAATGTGTGAGCAGAGTGTGCATGGTGGGGTTCCCCAGCTGTTGTCAGCACATGCGGCCAGCCCACTGCCATGGATCCCTCCCCCCATTACCAAGCACCACCCTCGGCACCCTGTCCCTTCCCCAGCCCCCATGTCTGAGGCAGGTACCTGGCCCAGGGATGTGAGCACAGGGAGATCTAGCTGAGAGGGCCCCTGGCAGAGGTGACAGCCTAGCCCTCCAGTGGGCAGGGCTGAGTCAGCAGGAAGATGAGACTTAGCCATGTCCATGCCATGGACACAGGCCAGGTGCATGGGCCCTGGCAGTGTGGGCAGCATCCAGAGAGACAAGGCCTGCCCTTCCCTCCACAGCACGCTGCCCTCCTTCCTGGCTTCCTTTTGGTGGATGCTGTAAGCAGTCTTCTTACTTCCTCTTTTTCCTAAGAAAACCAGAGGATAGGGGCCAGGACTTGGCCCAAGAGTGGGGATGGTCAAGAGGGCCCCAGCTTCCCTCTCAGCATGTGCAGCCCTCACCTCCTACAGCCCGTCTCCTGCCCTCTCCGATCCCCCATTTCCCCAAGGGAATGGCTGTCCTGGCACTTGCCTGTGTGGACCAAACAGAACTCTCACAAGGCCGGATGTGGCCTCCAGCCACTGGCTTGCCACACCAGTCTGTGCAGCCACCGATCCACCAGGGTCCTGCAGGAGTTGGGCTGGAGAATTGCTGGCTGGCCAAGTTGGATTCTCTTTCAGGTTGTTGCCTCTGGTGGTGGCGGGGTGGGGGCCAGGCTGAGTGGCCTTGTTGGTTACAGTGATGCGGACCCAGGGCAGCCTGCGGCTGATCCTCAACACCAAGCTGTGGGCCCAGATGCAGATGGACAAGGCCAGTGAGAAGAGCATCCGCATCACCGCCATGGATACTGAGGACCAGGGTGTGAAGGTCTTCCTGATCTCGGTGAGCCACCCTTGGGCAGGCTGCTGGACTCAGAAAGAAGGCTGTACCCCATAGTCCACCCACCACGCGGGGTTCCTTGACATGCTGGGCGCCACTTGCCTGGACTCTGGGAGGTAGACTCCTGTGGGTGTCACCCAGACCTGTGTTCTAGCTGTGGAGAATGGGGTGTGCCCTGAGGTCAGCACACCCAGAAGGAAGCCTCACCCTCTGTTTCCTTCTCCCTGTCTCCCCCTTAGGGGCTGGCCAAGGTCAGAGGTGTGCTTAGGACAAACAACCCTGTGTGTTGGTCACCCCATCCTGTGTCATGTGAACGGATGACACGTGTCCCCAATCTTGACCTCTGTGTCCTGGCCCCAGTATCCTCCCAGCCACCTAGGGGTGGGGATGGCCTTATGGATGTGACCGGTTGGCAAGCCAGGTCCCCTTGTGAGTAGGACACCTCCCACCCCCATCCCCAGCAGGATGGGTCCCAGGGCCCTCACAACCCCCTGCCTCCCCCAGGCCAGCTCCAAGGACACAGGCCAGCTGTACGCTGCCCTACACCACCGCATCCTGGCCCTTCGCAGCCGTGTGGAGCAGGAACAAGAGGCCAAGATGCCTGCCCCTGAGCCTGGGGCCGCCCCATCCCACGAGGAGGATGACAGCGATGATGATGTGCTGGCTCCCTCGGGGGCTGCCGGGGCCGGTGAGCCAGGCACTGCCTGCCCAGGAGGGGCCCAGAGCTGACCTCCCGGCCCATGTGGGCCAAACCAGAACTGGCCCCAAGGTGACGCTGCTCTTCCCGCAGGCGCAGGTGAGGAAGGTGACGGGCAGACGCCTGGGAGCACATAGCAGCCGGCGCACAGGAGGCTGCTGCTTGGTCGTCTGTCTGCCGCCCGCCCCCTCCCCGCAGGCAGCGGCACCATGGGCGGAGCCACACCCACTGGGTTGACCACAGTCTGGATCTGCGTCCGTTGGAAAGCAGACTCACTCGGGAGCTGCCTGGATGTGGTTTGGGACATGAGACCTCATCATATTGATGAGCAAAAAAAAAAGAACGTTCCTCCCTGCCCCTCCTCTGAAATGGCACATTAAGACTTGTCACAGCTTCTCACTGGGACTGGGAGACCTGGTTTCTTCACCCTGCGTGTCGCAGCCTCTGGGTGCAGCAAGGGCCTCTGGCCCCCCTGCCACCGCACCCTCCCTCCTGCATGGGTGGCACCTGCCTGGGAGCAGTGGCCAAGCCTGGGCTCTGCTCCAGGAGCCAGCACTGGGCCTGGGTGCTCCGTGTGGCTCTTTGTCTGCCATATTCTGATTTGATGGGTTTATATTTTACAATTTTTTTTTTTTTTTTTTTTTTTTTTTAATTTCCAAAGGCTTTGTTTTCAGTTCTGGGATTGAGTTGCTCTCTTGCGCTGAGCAGGCACAGCTCCTTGAGGGCTTGTTCTTGTGGTCCTGGCCTCTGAGCCAGGGTCAGTAGGCCCCCACTCTGCCCACCTGGGTTCCTATAAGCTGAGTCACGGGATGGTGGGGTGTCCGCTTCCATCTGGCCTAGGTGTGGAGATGCCTATCTAAAAAAAGGCCACGGAGCCTGGGAGGGGCCCCAGGGACCCCTAGTAGCCTCTTCCCCGTCCACATCATGTGATCCATCTGTCCGCGGGCACCTGGCGCCAGCCTGCTTCCTGCTGTGGGCCACTCCTTGCACAGCCCTGGACATCATACCCTCACAACGGGCTGGGACCTCTGGGAGAGGCAGCAGGGCCCTAGCTAGCCATGGGGACCAGGTCCCAGACAGTACGCTGTCCCCATGCACGCAGTATACAGGAGTGGGTGCCTGGGTACCACCCCGTAGGGCAACCCATAGAGGAGGTGGACCTTGTGCACAAGGCTCCTCAGGACTTTAGAGGAAATCCCCCAGCCCTGCCCCCCCCCCCGGGGTGAAGAGGAGGCCCCGATTTGCAGCTGTGCCACCCACACCTCCAGGGGCAGCCAGAAGCCCCAGGGCCAGGGTGGCTCCGTGGGTCTGCACTGCCCAGCCCCCTGCAAGCCTGAGCCAGGGGAGACACCAGAGGCCTGCCCAGGAGATCCGGTCACACTTCTCTGCTTTACGCCTTAGCCAACTAGTGACAAGGAAAACCAGACAATGCCCATGTGTTTTGGAACATTTATGTAAGATTGTCATATGAAATGTATTTGGGAACTACATTAAAACTTTTAACTAAAACCCCAGCCTCCTGCATGCCCCAGGGGCCTCAGGAAGCCAGACAGCCCAGCCAGGAACAGCTTACGCCTCACAGGGAGAGGTGCCCAAGTAGCCTGGCTGCCCGAGCACCCCTGCCGCCCTGCCTCGCACTCCACACCTGGGCAGGAGTCCAAACCGCCTCCCAAGACTGGCCTCCATGTGGAGCCTCCACTCGGACCTGCTGTTTGCTTCCCCCTCAGGGGTCACCTGGCTCTCTACGGGATCCACGGGGGAGGGAGTGAGGGTACCTGCAGTGACTGGGGCCTTGGTCAACAAGCGGCCTAAGGGCTGCTTTCCCTGGGGTCCAGAGCCAGTGACCTTTGGAACTTTTGTCCCACGTCTGCCTGGTGGCCCAGCAGGAGGCCTGGTCTCACCAATTCCTCAGGCTCAGTTCTCACGGATTCCACTCCCACTCAAATCCCACTCGTGTCCCTGCTGGGGCTGTCTGGGGAGGGGCCGGCTCAGGCAGGTGGGAGGGGTCCTCGGCTCTGGGCACCAGCTGAGCGAGGGCAGTCTGCTCACAGCTGCCACGCACTGGTCATCATGGCCACAAACTCTTCATCTGTGTCCACGGAGGCGCTGAGGCCACTGTAGTAGTCCTGGAATTCTGCCAGCGTGACCTGTGGGCAGACAGGCTGTGACTGGGGGGCCAAGGCTGGACACCACCTTGTGGGGAGGAGAGCCCTGCGTGGGCATCCACCCACCTGCCCGTCCTTCTCGGAGGAGTCGAAGGTGTCCAGGAAGCAGCGGAGCACATCATCCTCCCGCCACTCCCCACTTTGCACCTTGGGGTGGGCACGACCACTGTACACTCCACGGAGGTCGTCCACAGTCACCACGCCATCCCCGCTGCGGTCCAGCTTGGCAAAGGCAGCCACAATGACTGCCTCCCGGGCCTGGGACATGGGGGGCTGGGGGAGGGGTTGGTGGTGACTGGAGGCAGAGGGTAGGGTGTCCCCAGCACACCCCTCCCCCAAGATTGTCAGGACAGGATGTCACCCCTGATGGGCGCTTCCTAATAGCAATCCTTCGGGGTGAGTCAGCCTCCCTGACTCTTGTGTCCTTGGATACCCAGAAGTGGGCCTCACCCTCAGGGCCCGCAGAAACTCCTCCAGGTCCAGTGTCCCGCTGCCATCGCGGTCCCAGCGCTTGCACACACCCTCTGCTTCGGCCTCATCCAGCAACATCCCCAATTCTGCCAGGCCCCGCCGGAGCTCCCTGGCATCCAGCACTCGGCTCCCATCCTGGTCCAGGCGACGGAAAAACCTGGGGTGGGGGGGTGGTTATGGTTGGATGGCAGGCAACCCCAGGGCTGGAGTCTGGAAGGTTTGCAGAAGACCCCGTCACCTGGCCAAGCTCCGGATGCCTGAGACCCCTCGGGACAGGCACTGTGCCCGCAGCCTCTCCACAGTGGCATCCACGGCATCCATTCTGGGTCGGGTCTGTGGGCACTTGGGACTTCCCACCCAGCTAGCCAGGCACAGGCTTCAAGCTGCCAACCAACCCACACTTGCTTGGCTGGCCTGTGTCTGTCCCCAAGTCCTGCTGACTTTGCTCTGTGTTAGGTCTGCGTCCTGCCTGGCAAGACCGTTGCTAAGGGTGGTGGCTCTGGAGACTGGGAGGGGCCCAGCTGTTAACTCTCCACGTGCTGAGGCTGATGGCGGTGCTGAGAGATCTGCTCACTCACTCGCAGCCCCAAGAGGTCCAGGCCTGGGCTACAGCCAGGCCCAGACAAGCAGGGACTCTTGCTGGTCACAGGGAAGAGAGAGAGGCTACAGCCCAGGGGAATAGGCAGTCCTGGGCAGAGAGAAGACCTGATTGCTGTGTGGCCCCGGGCAAGTCCCTTTCCCTCTCAGGGATTTACTGGGCAGCTCAGCCAAAGCAAAGCCAGGGTTGATGAAACTGCTAAGAGATTAAAGTTCAAAAGAACTCAAGGTCCTGGGGCCCCAGGAACTGCCCAGGCCCATGTCCAACAGGAGGTCTTCAGAGTCGGTGAATGCTGAGCTGAGAGCGAACTTTTAGAGATGTCACCACATTGTGACAAAGCTGTTTCTGGTAGATTTATGAACCAGTTACAGTATTTTGTCATTACAGATCTTTTTGTGGGTTGCTTTTTGGTCCTCAAACCAAACCTCTCCATTTGGACCAAATGGAGAAGTGACTCTGGGCTCTGCCAAGCTACAGGCCTTCTATGGGTCATGAATGCTAGCTGAGGTGACAGGACCTCCTGGGACTGAAGGCACGGGGACCTCCTGGGACTGAACAGACCAGGGCATCAGAGGAGAATTTCCAAAACAGGGCCACCTCTCACATACCATCATGCCATACTGCTGGAAGTGACCCCAGGGTGAAGAAACAACCCAGATTACAAGCCACCCTGTGCCATGACTTGGTGGTTGACAAGAAACTTAAGTGACATCTCACTGCACAAATTCGGAAGGCTACTGCAGCCCAAAATTCTTGAGTGGGCAGAGATGAATTTCTTTTAAATGAGTGTTACATGCCGCAATTTTCTTCTGTAAAAAATGAAAATATAATCAATTTTTATAATTGTTTTGGGTTTTTTATTTTTGCATTGGGGGTGGAATACAGGGTCCCCCACAAGCTAGGTATACGCTGGACTACGCCCCCGGAAATTTTCACTTTTTTAAAAACACGATGCCAGGCTGGGAGTGCAGCTCAGTGCCGGAGCCCTTGCCCAGTGTGGGGGGCTCTGGGCACCCTCCCCAGCCCCACAGAAAATAAAGAATTCCAGCAACCTCCCAGCACGGGACGCTGCCCTGGCCTTGCGGAACTGGAGGCCGGGCGGCTTTACTTGGAGGCCTCTGCCCACAGCTGTGAGAAGGGGACAAGTCTGCTGTCCAGATTAGACAACTGTGGCACCAGCTCCAAAGCTCGCAGGACCCCAACCAGGATCACGCACAACACGCAGGGCCAGCTCTCCTGCCCACGCCAGGGAGAGGATGAAGGGCCCAGCAGAGAAAGCAGACGGTTTATGCTTGAGGGCAGACAGTCCCCAGCCTGCTTCCCTTTGCAGCTCCCTTGTTCATCCAGAGAGGAAAATGGGGCCATTGTCACTGCACTGAGAGTCACTGTTGGATGCAGGCAGGAAGGCGGCACCATCCCAGGGCTGTGAATGACCGCCCGTTGAAACAGTCCCTGTTCTTGGGCACTTGCTGGCATGACAATTCCCTGAGTATGGAGCCTTGATGGCGGCCCGCCAGGCAGGGAGTGGGAGGAACAGGGCCTGAGTCCCCTCCTTGGTTTGATAAAGAGCAAAGTTCCCTGAGTGCCTTGGGCGGCAAGGACAGCTAGACACAAGGAGTTAAAAAACAGTGTCTCTGCACGCTGCCACACAAGCTTGGCTGGCCCTGGGGAGGGGCTCCCTCAGGGCTCACAGGACCATCCCTGTCCCTGAGGGGGGCTCTGAGAAATGTCAGGCACTGGTGACAAACAGAACAAGAGACAAAAACCCTGCTGTCAGAGTTGACGCTACTGGTGAGATAGTGTGACACTCCATAAAAAGAATGGCATGGAATGATGGTGGGCAGGGCTGGCAGGGTAAAGTAGGGACTACTCCAAGTAAGATGGTCACAGAAGGCCTCTTGGAGGTAATATCTGAGCAAAGACCTGAGTGACAAGGAGCCAATCATGTGGCAATCTGGGGGGGAAAGTTATAGGAAGAGAGAAGAGCCCGCGTGCAGGTCCCAGGCAGCGCACCCTGAGGAAAGCGTCTAGGCTGTCACCCCTGCCTGCTCATCCTTTGGGAGTATATGTGGAGGAAAGGTCAGAGTTAGGGAACAGAGATCTAGGATATAAATGTGTCATCACATGGTCAATGCAGATTGGCATAAGGCTTCCAGCCCCTAGCTGTAGTCCAAGGTCAAAAGCTAAGAAACACTTTAGGGTGTGTCAGGAGGAACAGTATCAAGGCCAAGGACAACAAATCTTGTGGAACTTGATGCCATCTGTCTCCACCAGACAGAGGTCTCAAATTCAGATGCTTCCAGGGCCAGGTCAACAGCCTCAGAGGTGAGGGCACCAATAGAACTCACCCTGGATAAAAGGGTACCCTGGACTCAGAGCCAGACGAGACCAGCCAGGTCTGAAGCCAGATATCCAGCTTCTCTGGAAGCATCACCAGTTGTTCAACAAGAGGATGGATTCAAAGTTTTGTCATTTGTTTTAACTTGTCAGATTAAACATGTGTATTTGGCCTATGGGCCCAATTGGAAACTTAGCCTTTTTAGATTGCTCTGATGTTTGGAAAGGGTCGTGGCTCTGCCCCTTGACACAGGTGGAAATCCCCAAAGGAGCCTTCTGCTTTCATTCTGGAATCTGCTCTGAGGCTCACACTGTGGTCCCAAACATCGTAGGCTGGGGGTGGTCCTGGTCCGCCTTCTCACCAGTGCTGTTGGCAAGGGGTGGGCCAGGCCCACTGGGGAGTAGATGGCCTGGGTCACTGGCTGGCAAGGGCCCCAGACGCTCGGCCTCAGCCAGGTCAGCCAGCAGTGCGACCAGGGGTGGCCGCCGGCGACAAATGTCCTGTAGCAGCTTGGCCCGTGGCTGCAACTGCTGGATGAGTTCATCCCTCTGGCGCACAGCAGCCTGCAGGCTGCGGATGGCGGCCTCGGAGGTCAGCAGCTGCTCCTGGAGAGCGGCAATCTCACTGCAGGAAGGCAAAGCGGGGCAGTTAGGATGGTGGGAGAGCAGAGGGGCAGCTCCCCCTGCTCCCAGCCCTCCCACAGCTCCCCATGGCTGCCCCCACCACTGCCTCCAGGCCCCTCTCAGTTACTGACTCTGTGTCTCCACCCAGTTCATGTGATAGAGCCCTAAATCCCCACCCACAAGATGGAGGCTTTGTGGGGCTGGGGATGTGGCTCCAGCGGTAGTGCGCTGGCCTGGCGTGCGTGAGGCCCGGGTTCGATCCTCAGCACCACATACAAACAAAGGTGTTGTGTCCGCCGAGAACTAAAAAATAAATATTAAAATTCTCTCTCTCTCTTTAAAAAAAAAAAAAAAAGATAGAGGCTTTGGGAGGTAATTAGGGTTAAATGAAGTCTGAGGTTGTGATCCCATGACAGAATTAGTGTCCTTATAAGAAGAGGCACCAGAGAGCTTGCTCGGTCTCTCTGCCACCAAGAACAAGCAACAGGTGGAAGTCTGCAAGCCAGGGTACTTTCACCAGAACCCAACCAACTGGCACCCTGATTGCATACTTCCAGCTTCCAGAACTGTGAGAAATAAACCTTGTTTTCTGAGATGCCAGCCATACTGCTTTGTTATGGCAGCCAAGCCACAACAGCTCACCACTCCCCATCTTTCTGCAGTTCCTGATCCTCAACATCTTTTCCCATTTCTCATGCTTTGATGGCTCCTCCAGGAAGCCTCCCTTTGGGTCCCTGAGATTGTGTGATCTGCCCCCTCCTATCACAAACCTTGATCATCCCATGATATAACCACCCAATGATATGTCTCTCTCTTACCAATGTGCTCCAAACCCAGCCCAGCACCTGGCACATATCAGGTGCTCAGTAAAGACAAATGGATGAATCCAATGAGCTCTGAATTCCTTGTTCCGCATCTGGACCCCAGGTCCTCCCTCCTCCCTGGGTACTTGTCTCATCTCTTTCAATCTTCAGCTGCCAAAAGGAACTCTTCAAAAATGCTGATATGATCATATCTTCCCCTGCTCAAGAAACTGCCATGGCTCCCAGTGCCAACACCAGGGAGTAGGTGCTCCCTGTGCCAGTCAGTACCCGCTGATCTTGCCTTGTGGGAAAAATAGGCTATTTGAAGTTACAAATTCACACGTATATCTTCATTTACATCCTGAGGACTAATCCGAGTTTTGCTTTGTGTTTTTCTTTTTTTTTTTTTCTTCCTCCAATCCCATTAGCAGTCCAGCCCCCACGTGAATTCACAGGGTTCCTACTCTTCTTCCCCGTCCAATCTCATCTCTGCCTCCGCCCACCTCCTCTGGGAAGTCACCTGGCCGGATCCCAGTCTCACCGGTCTTTGGCGTGGCCCAGCTCGTCCAGGGCGGCGCGCAACTGCTGATCTTGGAGGGTCAGGCGCTCTGCTTGGGCGCTCACCGTGCGCTCCGCGGCCTCTAGCCGCGCCTCCAGCTCCGCCGCGCGCCGGTGAACTGCAGCCAGGTGTGCGTTCGCCTCGCGAATCTGCAACGCGGGCGGCGCGGACATGGCCCCCGCCGAGGTCCAGGCCGGACACGCCCCCGGGCGGCCCGGAACAGGCAGCCACGCCCCAAAGTGGGCCACACCCCCTCAGGGCCTTAGCACGATTGGCAGGAGCCTTTCTCTAGGCCCCGCCTCCGGAGCTGGGCTGTGCGTCTCCGGAAATCCGAACGCCCTCACTGATTCAAGCATCTTGAAAGTCCGCCCTTAAGCCTAGCCTAAGATTGGTCAAGATCTTGACAGAACACGCCCCCGTGTAGGCCTGGTCCAGGGGCAATTCGTTCAGCTCACGGGATTGGTCGAATTTTCCAGACAAGCCCCGCCCTACTTAGAAAGTGACACCCGGAATGGTCCGGAACTCTCGGCCGCGGCAGGCACCAGCGCGCCCGCCGGAACAGGCTGCTTTCCTCTGGGGCCCACACCATTGGCCACGTCTCTGTCAGGGGCAGTCCAAGAACAGACGCGCTTTAGGCTAACATAAGCTGCTCTTTTCTTTCTTCTTTTTTAACTTTATGTCAACTGTATTTTTATCTTTTTCCTTTTCTTGATGTTTCTGTGTGCTAATCAGTTATACATGACAGTAGAGTGCATTTTGACACATCACACATAAATGGAGTGTGACTTCCTTTCTACATGACGGAGAGTCACGGCCGCGTAATCATATATGCACATAGGGTGATGATGTTCTTTCTACTATCCCCCTACCCCAAAACCCCTTCCCCTCCTTCACGCTCCCCCGTCTAACCCAAGGACCTCTACCTTCCGAGCGCCACCCCCGCTCCCTTCCTGGGAATTAGCAGCCGCAGATCAGAAACAACCGCGCGGGGTTGGTCAAACCCCTCCGGGTTATTCCTTCGTTTTGGGCCACGCCCTCAAACCGAGACATACTTCTTCCTACACGGTTCGGGCACAGAACGCTTCCCACTAAGATCCCAGAATTGGTCACGTTTCCATTAAACTTCGCCTCTATCCTGGCCACATCCTAAAGTTTAGTGGCACCCGGTTCAGACTCCTGTTTGGATATTGGTCACAGGGCATGACAACGTCCCATACAGATTCGGGCGCTAAGAGGGGCCACATACCTAGTCCGTACGTGGCGGTAGACCTAGCTCCCGTCAGTCTGCCCTGTAGAACAGACCCCACCTCCAGTAGTAAACCGTCCCTAACCTAGGACTCCCTGAGCCGGGACTAGCTCCCCCTCTGTCAATCGACCCTGCGTACTCGTGCTTCCTTAGGCCAGGCCCGCCCCCCTACGCATGCGCGCGACCCGTGTGCTTGTCCGCGGAGCTCAATAAAGTTGCGCCCTTGTTGCGGGCCCCTTGGTCAGGGAGGTTGCGCGCACTTCCCCAGGAAGTCTCGCGAGAGTCGGCAGCGGCTGCCCTTGGGAGCGCGGAGCCCGCGGGGTCGGCGGTGTGGGCTCGGGGCTGCGCGGCCATGGCTCCGAGTCTTCTTCGACAGTTCTTGGACATCCCCGACGGCACCGAGTGCCACCGCAAAGCCTACGCCAGCACCGGTATCGGCGGCGCAGTGGGTGAGCGCCGGCCGGCCCCGGCAGCGGAGCGCGAGGGCGCAGGAGGTCACGGGGCCGCGGCGCCGCCCGAGGGTCCTGCGCGCCGGGCTCCCGCGGCCGCGCGGCTGGGGGACCTGGCGGGGTCGGAGGGCCCCGGGAGGTCGTGGCTCAGGTGACAAGCCGGGCACGGGGACCGCGGGCGAGGCGGGAGGGGTTGGTGGAGCCTTCTCCAGGCTCCGGGAGGCTGCGCAGTGAGACCGGGAGGGCTTCGAGGTCCCCTGTGAGACTCCATCGCGGGGCAGCCTTGAAGGGACTCGAGGAGGTCGTCACTGCGGTGTCGGGAGCGGTCCCAGAAGCCTGAGGACGCTCCGGGGTGCGATGAGGTCTTTGTAGGGTCAGGTGTGCCCGGGGCTTCTGATGGGGCCACCAGTGGGATCCTAGGTGAGGTGGGCCGAGGCACCCGCAGCCCGGTCGTCCCAGTGCCCGCCCCTTCCCATGAGGGTTTCCCGGGCACCTTCTCCTTTCATTCTCTGCCCCGCTGGGAAGTAAATGACTTTGGCCACCACCATCTCTCGGGCCTGGCAGGGACTGAGACCCTCCTGGTCGCAGTTGGATTAGGGTGGCCCTAGGGAGCGCTTCCGGACTGAAAGAGGCGCATTAACCATCCCTGAGCGTTTGGGAGCCCGGCTGCAAGGCCGGGTCTGCGGGTCCCCCTTGGAGGGATGGGGGTCCAGGAGGGGAAGTCATTCTGGCACATTCTTAAGGGGAGACATGACATTAGGAAATGTCTGGAAGGACTTTGGGGGGGGGTGGTCATGTTTGAAGGGATGTGAAAGCAGGAGGGAGACACTTGAGAGGCATTCTGGGCCTCTTCTTGGGGCGAGGCCGGACCCAGAGCTCCATCCCGGCCTCTTTGAGGAGATTTTGAGGGCAGTAGGCCTGCGGCTGAGGCTCAGTGGCAGAGCATGAGGCACCAGCTTCGATCCTCAGCATCACATAAAATAAATGAATGGAATGGGGGTGTTGTGTCCATAAGTGGAGGGCCATGAAGAAGTGCGCATGCTCACACACAGGAGTCCCTGAGCCTGACGTGGTGGGCACGGCTAGTGAGGGGACTCACTGGAGGGCACTGGGGGAGCAGCGAGAGAGAAACCTTGTCAGACATGCGGCGTTGGGGAGTCACTGAGGGCGTCATTTGGGGGGTCACTAGCTCTATGGGCACTACTCCCCTTCCGGTCCCACCCCCTTCATCTCCTGCCACCCTCATCCAAGGGCGGCCACTTGCTTCATGGAAGTCCCTGGATGTCATCTGTGGGCACAGCAGTCTGGGAGGGAAGGAGGTATATAGTAATGTGATGAGTGGGTGACCCAATGGTGCATGTGGGAGGAGCAGCTCTAGGTGGGCACCTGTGGCATGCAGCTTGTGCCTGACTGGAGGCACTGCGTGCGAGTATCTGGAGGTCAAGAGGCCGGCAGCAGGCTGCAGGGGGGTTTTTGAAAGGAGGTTGAGGGCAGTGGAGAGATCTGATCAGTAGAGATCCTCTTGTGCTTATAGGGGCTCCAGGAAGAAGAGTGGCAGGTCACCACAATGGGTGAATGATGGGGACAGGGTAATGGAGCAGTCTTGACCTCCAAAGGGTAAGCAGGGAGTCCTAGGTCACCTGCTACCTGCTAAGGGGCTTTGGAGGGGACCTAGGACGGTGGGCACTTGCTGTTTTCTGGGACGTGGTCCATGGGCTAAAAGGTCCCTTGGCCAAGATCTATGCCTGGGGTAGGGACAGTAAGGTTCCCCAAGGGTCTCTTTGTGAGTGGGTTCTGGTTTTGTTGGGTTTGTTTGGGGGGTTTTTTGGTACTGGCAATTGAACCCAGGGGCACTTAACCACTGAGCCGCATCCCCAGCCCTTTTTTATATTTTATTTAAAGACAGGGTCTCGCTGTGTTGCTTAGGGCCTTGCTAAGTTGCTGAGGCTGGCTTTGAATTCATATTCCTCCTGCTTCAGCCTCCCAAGCTGCTGGGATTAAAGGCATGTGCCCACAAGTGCCACGCACCAGGCTTGTGAGTGGGTTTGGGAGCATCATTGAAACAGTGTTCCTCCTGCTGGGTGGGGTGAGAGGGTTATAAGACCCTGTGGCCAGCACAGACCAGATCAGGACTCGTTGAGTCCCAGGAAGGTCTGGGAGTGTTTACGAATGGGGTGCACATAAGCCTTGGTGTGGGGGAGGGTGGGGCTTGCTGGGCCAGGGGAGCAGGCCCTTGGCGCCATCATGTTCTGCAGCCCAGCAGGGACCCAGGTGTTGGTCCTCACTGGGAGGAGAAGATCCTCAAGGCACTCCAGGTTCGGCTTTTTTCCCAGCATCCTGGGCCTCAGGTCCCCATTCGTGCAGTGGAGAGCATCTTGGCCCTCCTCAGGCCCCTCTGAAGATGAGCTCACTGCGGGACATAGAAAGGGCCCCTGGAGGCTCCTGTGGGGCAGACTCGGGCAAACTGAAATAGAGGCACAGCTGGGCAGCAGGGCATCGCCCGGCCTGGAGGGACGTGTGGGTCCTAAAAGCTGGAGGTTGGGCATAAGGACAGCTGTCAGGGGCACTCTTTGGGTCATACCCACCTGGTCTCCCAGATGGCTGCTGGGCAGCCTCTGGTAAGCTGCTCTGCTCTCTGAGGCCGCCTCATCTCCATGAAGCAGCAGATAACAGGACATCAGGGCCTGGAGAGGGTGAGGGGCGGTGACTGCCCTTGTGGCCTGTCCAGGGCAGTCCATTTTGTTGGGATATTCAGGCCCCAGGAGGTCCCTGTGGTGACTGGGCCGTGTCAGGAGGGCCACAGGGAGAGGAAGGAGGGATCTGCACCGAGCAGCTCCTGCCAGCAGATGGGGAGGCCGTGCTGGGCTGCTGGGTGGTCAGGAGCCAGCGACAGTCTGCCCACCCACCACAGAGGGAGGCATGCCTGCGAGGCTCTGATGGGCGGCTGGGCCAGCCAGAATGGACTCTCCTTCCTCTTCACCGCCTGGCCCCCACCTGGCCCCCTTGAGCATAGGAGTCAGCATCAGGGGCAGGAGGCTGGGGAGACAGTGAAGATGGAAAAGCTGACCTGAGTGGTGGGGCCAAGTGGGCATGAGTGGCAGCCATGCCAGCTAGGTGCCAAGGACACACCTAGGCCCAAACCTCCAGTGTGGGGGGGTGTCCCAGGAGTGGCAGGAGGGAGGCTTTAGCAGCCTCAGAGCTGAGCCACTGCCTGGGAGGCTTAGGTGGAGGCCCAGGGCCCACAGGAGAGTGGAGGCTTTGATGGGAGTGGGAGCTGGACCCAGGCGCCAAGACCTGTAGGGGGCGCTGCTGTGGCATCTGAGCTGGTGGCATGAAGCCCTGAAGCAGCCCCACAACTCTTGAGGCCCCTGGTCCCACTCTTGTGTTCGCCTCATGGATGCTCCCGTATCTGCTGGCCAGTGCCCCACTGAGGGCCAGTATGGGTGGCAGGGACCCCACAGCTGAGCCAGCACTGGTCAGGCTTTGAGAAAGGAGAGGCCTAGGGGCCAGGAGTGGGTGAGGATCCTCCAGCTCAGCCCTGGCACAGAGGGGTGGCCCCAGAGACAGAGTGCCCAGCAGGCCACCTGAACCCTGGAGCCTAAGGTTGGTCAGGGGCTGCTTCTCATCACTGAGGAGACCAAGATCGACTGGCCTCCTTCCCTTTGTCCCACAGGCCTGATTTGGTCAGTCTACAGTGTCACACACCGTCCCCCAGACTCCGTCCTCGAAGGAGTGGCTCGGGCTGGACGATATACATTTACCGCAGGTGAGCAGGGGGGTTCTCCTGGCTGCCCTAGTGCCCAGCTCTTGCCCTCGGTCTGGGAGCATCTTCTACAACCGCCACTTCTCCCTGGCTCCCAGCCCAGTCCACAGTCCGAACCGTCGGGGGACACAGGGTGCTCCTCCGTCAGGGACATGGGTTGTGGCAGGGGTCCCAGGGGCCAGCTGCAGTGCCAGGGCGGGAAGCTCCTGTGGGAAGCAGCCAGCTGGCAGGGAGCTTCCAGGAGTCTCTCGCCATGCCCCCTCTGGGCCTCCGACTGAGCACCTGCCCTCTGTGTGTCCCCGGCAGCCGCCATCGGG